TCTGTGGTGGAATCCCTATCTTGAATACATTAGGTCCCGCATTTATCTCCTAGGATGAAATGCCAAAATCAAACCAATACGCTCTTCAGAATTTCCTGACCATAATCTTTGCATCGTTTTCCATCCATGTTAGTCAGCTTCCTGCCACAACAGATGGGAGTGGAAACTGTAACACCGGAAGTTAACATGAAAGCCCGGAAGTTAGCCTGTAAGCCCCACCAGCCCAAGGACCAGGTGATTTCCTGGAATGTTGGGAGTTGTAGTTCTTCAATAAAAACAAAGCCATATGGGAAAATATGGTAGCCATATGTATTTGTCCTTTAAAAACCTCTGTAATATATGTTTCAGGGCCACTCAGCTAAGAATTCCAGGGAGTGGTCCTGACTAAAGCCTATCCTGGTCAGTATCTAATTAAAAGCTTGCTTCAAATTGCGTTCAAAATTATGGAACTGGTTTTTCTCTTGTGAATCTCAGAATTAACAGTAACTTACAGAGGAGGGCAATATTTACATGAGCTGTTTCAGAAATCACACGAATAGCCACCGAGCTCTGTTGTTTCTGGGCCTGTAGAAAAACACAGCACCATGGCGGGGAGGCCACAGTGGAGCTAGTGGCTCCCCTCATAGCGGCCAGAACTAAGAGAGTGGAAGTGATAAGGGATCCAGACAAAATATATCCTTAAATGACACTTCCCAATGACCACATTCTTCTGACTAGGTCTTGCCTCCCAAACTTTCCAATATCCCATTAAGTTTCAAATCCCTAAGTGGGCTAATCCAGTCTCTTTCCAAAGCTGCCACCTATGAAGATGAGGGCTTTGGGGGCAGGCTTTCACCATGTGGACTTTTGATAGACATTTAAAACCCTATAACCCATAATGCCACAGTGTCAAGTGTTACCAAATTCAGTTACTGTTTCTAAAAGAAATCATAGGTATAATCTGTGTTAATATTTTAATTATGAATCTGCAATTATACTTTAGTCCATGCCTTGTTTAGCTGTACATAAATAAAAATGATAATGAATTTTTGATGATAGACCTTTTTTTTTTTTTTTTTTTTTAACAGAGACTGGGTATGGAAAGGAAAAGAGGTCAGAACAGACTGAGAAAGGTTGCCATCACAGCTTCTTTGTCTTGTCTTCTGGTATTTGGTATAACACACACACACACACACACACACACACACACACACGGGCTCCTTTCCTGCCCTCGAGCCCCGCCATGCTTCAGTCTGTCAGATTTCTCTTCACAGTAACCATTTCCATTTGCACTGTAGCTCATGTAAATAGGCTGATCCTGCTTTGCATAAGCATGTTGATTTATATGAATGCTATTTTGATCTCAAATTGATTGAATACTAAAAAGGAAATCGGGGGGGGGGAGCAATGTGTTCTGAAGGTCTCTTGTCAAAGACGAGAGAGAACACTAACTCCTACATCCATTCCCTGCTATGGAATTCTATATTGTCTATATTTTAGAGGATAATATTCCCAAATGCACCAACACCTATACTCTGAGGTCCACTAGTTTTCAAATATATAAAATTTGGAAAGAAAACGGGAGTTTGGTTCCCAATACGCACACAGGACAGCTCATAACTACCTCCAGCTGCAGCCCCAGGGGAGCCGATGTCCTCTTCTATCCTCCTCAGGAAGCCCCAATCATGAGCACATACCTACACGCTGACAAACAGATGTACACAATTCATAGTAAAATTATTAGATTATATCACATCTTGAAAGTAAGACTCCACTTGGGCAGAGCCTATAATAGCACAGGAAGGCAGGAAGGTCAGCGCTGACTCCCACAGCAGAACTAAAACCCCATGGTGATCTACACGGCAAATGATGAATATTAACATATTAAAGGAAGACCATAATTGGGGAAGAAGTGATCCTAAAGAAGGAGAGGAGGAAGATGGGAGGGGACTATTTAGAGGGAGGCTGCAGCCCAGCAAGAAGACAGGATGGCAGGGAAGGGCAGTGGGTAGAAAAGCACAGATAAAAACAAAAAAATAAGAACATATATGCATGAAAATGCCATAATGAAACCCATCTGTGTTCTCACTTTTTAAACTAATATTAAAATAGAGAAATGAGCTCTCCCAGCCCTGGGCTCAGCTGGTCCCTAGGCTTCCTTTAGTGATCCTTTTCTTCTGTATCTCTCCCCAGCCTCTCACCTGCATGGTGGCCATCTCCATGGGCACTCAGCTATTTGCTGGATTTGTCTTCTATCAAACCTCCCCCTATGGGCTTCCTTCTTATGACCCTGATTAATATCAGCAGGTCCTTAAACTGCCAAGAGCCCATTCCTGCCAGGGGATCTGATATTGACCTTTGTGCCCTACTTTATGTCTTTCCGAGAATACTGTATTTTTTAATCTGTTAGTCTTCTGCTGTGAAAGGCCTCTCCATAGCATCTCTAGAATGTTGCCTTTTAAAGTGGTCGGTCTCCAGCTCACCAAGCCAGGCACCCTCCCTCTCGGGGCCTGACATCTGATCTCTTCACTAATAATCTAGCCTTCTGCCCCACTGCATGACTGACCTTGGCCATTTCAGCGGGGACAAGAACAGTCTGGGTGGTACTCTGACTTGGACACTCGCTGGCAGAAGCCCCGCTGTCATGGAGACAGCCTTCTGTTTCTTGCTCCCCAGCCCATCACAGGGACCATGTTCAGCTGAGACAGTTGACTCAACATATCTTCCACCCTAGTGAGTTAGATCAGGTCAGGACCTGACCAAATCTAGACTTTCAGACCCATGGTATCTATGTCCACATGGCAGCAACCAACAGAATTCAAAGCTCAGTTTACCAGAAAGAGCATAGTTTTAGCCCCCACTCGCAAACTCTTACCCAGTACACATATACACACATATCCACAAAACGGAATGTTTTAGAGTGCTTTGAAACAAGGAGAGGATAGAAACATGAGGGACTATAAACAAATCAGGAGAGAGAGTGTGCTCTTAAAAGAGCTGGGTTCTTTAGGGTAGGTTGGTTTTCTCTTTAGAGAAGAGGGCCACGGGCAATCCTTTGAGCAGGGACTGGAGATTTACATTTGACAGCAGCTCCACTTGAGGAATTTGCTTTCACAAAGGCATCTGCCCCCAGAAAGAAACACAGATCCTGATTGGACTTGGCTCTGTGGAGGTTGTTGCTTCTCTCTGCAAGCTATACTGATGTAGGAACAGGACAGGATGAAACTCTCACCTTGGGTTTTCCTGTATGGCTTGTTATTAAACATCCTGCATGTTGTGTTTATAAAAAGATAAAGAGGAGAGAGATATCTTCTATGGAGGTATGGTGAGGTATGGGGGAAAGGGGTGCCCCAGTGGGCCCATGCCAAGGCATTCCTTCCCCCTGAGGGACCAGCCACACGATGGTATAGTATAGAACAGAGTTTATTCAGGGTATGGGGAGGGCAGTAAAGAGGGTAGTAGAGGCAGAGAAAGGCAGAGAGAGAGAGAGAGAGTCAGAGACAGAGACAGACAGAGACAGAGAGACAGACAGAGAGAAAGAGAGAGAGGAGAGGAGAGGAGAGGAGAGGAGAGGAGAGGAGAGGAGAGAAGAGAAGAGAAAAGGAAGAGGAAGAATAAAAGAGTAGAGGCCAGCCATGAGCTAGTGGAGAGAGAGGGGAGAAGGGAAGCAGAGAAAGAACAAGAGAGAAACAAGAAGAGAAGGAGGAGGGGGCAAGCAGCCTCTTTAATAGCGGGTCAGGCCTACCTGACTGTTGCCAGGTAACTGTGGGGCGGAGCTTAGACAGAATGCTAACATTGCATGCCTCCCAGTACTGTACATACCAACTCAAGCAAGCTTTCCTCACTTGTCCCTAACGGGCCATGACAGTTTTTTTTTTTTTTTTTTTTTTTTTTATAAACACAGCAAAAGACAGCCAATGAGAAAAAAAATTCCCCAAAGTTGGAGTTGCACCGGAGAGCGTAGTAAGGAACACCAGTAGGCGACACAGTCGTCTCGTATTGTGGTCTCCATCTATCATTCTGATTGATCACTGTGTGGTTGGCTGCTATTGGGCCTAATTTAACCCTATATGCTCGCACATCCATCCACCGGGTCTATTGCACCTGACATCCTACAAATTACTCACCCATGCAAATGGCGACCCAAGGCGACCTTTTAGGATATTCGTGTTTAATTATACAAATGGTTCTTGATAAATAAGATTACACTTCTCCCCATATGTTTATCCCCTCCTTGATTAAAGGAAATTTGATTTTCATGCAGATTTAATGGAGACACTGTTTAAGAATTGCTGAGTTTTATGGAGTCCAGGAATCCATCCACCCTGAAGGAACTAACAAAAAAAAAAAAGTAAAAAAAGTGTCGCCACTGCTCCACAGAGGCAGAGAAGAGCAGCCAGCAATCTACCTGTGGAATTACTGAAACCCTAGCGAGCTACTTTCTCGTTCTATGTTGTTCTATGATCTTTTGTAATTTCAAACTTATAAGACCAAAATTCATCCCATTTGTTGTGTTTTATTTAAAAACAAAAAACAAAAAAACAGGATATGTTTTGTACAGCCAGGTATGATGATGTGGGAGGGGTGACTTGTTGGGCCCATGTATAGTATAGAATAGAGTTTACTTAGGGCATGAGAAGGGGAGTTGATAAGGGAATAGAGACAGAGAGAGAGAGAGAGAGAGAGAGAGAGAGAGAGAGAGAGAGAGAGAGAGAGCGAGAAAGGGCCAAATAGCCTCTTTTATTGCAAGCCAGGTAACTGTTGTACAGAGTCTAGAAGGAATGCTAAAACTGGTTTGGTGGCTGATTTATCTACTTTTATTGAGACATGTTCTTACTATGTAGCCCAGCTAGTCTGAAACTCATTATATAGCGGAGACTGGCTTTGAACTTACAGAGATTGGTCTGCCTCTCATTCCAGAGGGCTAGGATTAAAGGTGTGCGCCATCAATTCCACACCTGTTAGTCTTCTCCAGTGTAAGTGTACCTTGGTTGTGATTGGTCTTGTTGATTCTTTTTGAGGTATGGGCGATGAATTCTGCAGGCAAAGCAGCAAGTAACTGGACATGGTGTAGAACTGGACCTGCCCCACCAGAAGGACTCAGAGCACCCATGTTCCACACTGTCTCCTCCACCCAAGCGGTCGTCAACATCAGCGCACCTTCGAAGTCCAATGGGGACATCAGCCTCTTCCGAGTCTTCTCCAACTCCAGCGGGACATACATCACGGTGAGCGCTCAGCTCTAAGAGCTAACACAGCAAGGCTCTTCCTAAAAGCCTGCCTTGGTGCTGTGGCACCTTGCCCTCATCCCTAGATCCTGTGCGTCTGCCTTCTCTTGCCCTCTGAGAAACGGGGGCCTGCTGTGAGACTGCACCTTTAGGAAACAGAAAACATCTGAGCTGGGATAAGTGCCAGGGATGGCACTGAAGCCTGCAGAGATTGAAGGAGCTGAAGACCTTACACACTGATTTAATTTAGAAATTTATTTTAAAAAAATAGAGGCCAGGTAGTTGAAGAATGGCAGCCAGTCCACAAGGCAAGGTGGATGGAGTGAACGTTAATATGGAAAAGAAAAGAGGAGGCAAGGAATGTTCTGGGAACTCCCAGGTTGCTACACACAGATCTCTAACAAAAGGAAAATCCAGTCTCAGTCGGTGCCTTTAAGAGAGCACCCGCTTCAGAAGAGGCAGACCACAGAGAACAAAGCTGACCCCACTGCCGCCATTAACACATTTGAGGGAAGTCTAGAGGTAGAACTGAGTATGGGGGATCTCATGCTGAGCTGTAAGCTGTTGTTGAGAGGGAGGCCATGCTAGAAACAAAGAAAGATATTCCTGTTGTAAAGTAGACCGCACTAACAGGGGAAAGCAGCTTGGCAAGCCAATTGTTTTTGTTCAAAGGAGCTGCCCAGACCTAACCCAGCTAGCAAGCACACAGGAAGGGGAACAGAAAATTCACTTGGTATTTATTCTAATGTGGGTGGTGACTATTGTCTTTCCCCATTGGTTGGGTCTCACCTCAAGGTCTTTTGAGATTGGCCAGTTTTAAAGGAAATGAAGGGAAACCAGAGGGGGTGACTGATATGCTGTTTAAGTCATTTAAATTTAGATAATGGGAGGAGTGCATAAAAGTTTTTGGGTAGGGGACATCAAAACATTTGCATATGGTTTTACAAGGTGAGAAAGATAAAAATACTTTAATTTCTTGTCCTAAATAAAGGTTTTTCAGTATGTGACAGAGAAGGCTAATATTTAATGTTCCTAATAGCTAGGAACCCACCGCTAAGCCAGTACCTGCCTTACATACAACACTGGGGTCTCTCCCCTGTGGCTCATGAATAAGTGGAGGTGATAATACTTCGTTCACATAAGCTTACAGAGAGATTGCGCAGATCCCAGTATTACATTATGAATTATTTAGATCAATTTAGGGAACGATTTGGGCAAGTGTGGAGAAATCCTCTGAGGCCAGCATGCCCGTGTGGAAACACAATTTCCCAAGAAGCCCCACACACAGGCAAGGCTCCTAGTGAATGCTAACAGGATATTAGCGTATGTTCTACAGGGTTTCATATTCAATAAATACAGAAGATGTAAATACAATCAGCCCTTGATTATCCATGCTTATAAAACGATAATATTAACACATCTAAATAATTTCTATGTGGAGCGCATTGTATGCATTTAAAAAAAAATCGCAGGTAGCTCCTTAATTATGTTACTTATGTCGATGTGGAAATTAATTTCCAGCTTCTGAGTACTTCTCTTCCAAATGAGGTCAAAAGTTTGCTCCAAATGAATCAAAAGTTCGTAGCTCTACAAAGACAAGTGGCTTTGCAAAACAGGACTCTGAGAGGAAGGAGGACTGGCAAACATCAAATATTTGCACCCACCTCTGATATGGGTCCCAAGGCATTTTGAATGCATAAGTTCCATGCAAGTTATTGTAGTAGAATGTGAAATCTAGTGATTAAAAGATAATTCAAATACAGATTATGATTTTGTTTTCATTTTGCTGCAAAGGAGTCCCTTTGAAAGTCATTGAATTCAACCGGTATATCGTGTGCTTGGTTCCGTCTTCTAGTACATTCCTAAGGTTAGGTAAGGGATAATGTCACACCTTGTGACCTCTTTCTTGTTAGCTGTTCTGTTTACTGGACTCTTGTATTATAAACACCCCTCCATCTGGATCAGTCTTCCAAGAGTTAACACTCTGCTGAGCATCTCAAGGTGACACCTCAAGGCGACAGACACCTCGTTACTTCTCCCTAAGTGCCTAGCATGGGCTCCCATTCATAGCAGGGGGCACACCATCTCTGACATGTGACAGTCTCATCCAGTCCTCTCCCCTGCAGCTGTCTGAAGGCGTGGCCACCCAGCAGACCCTTCATGACCTGAGACCCTTCACCACATACACCATTGGGGTTGAGGCCTGCACCTGTTTCAACTGCTGCAGCCGAGGACCAACAGCTGAGCTGAAGACACATCCTGCCCCACCCTCGGGGTTGTCTCCTCCCCAGGTCCAGACACTGGGCTCCAGGATGGCTTCCTTCCAGTGGACTCACCCTCGACTCCCCAATGGTGTCATTCACAGGTAATTGTCAGCAGAACCGGTTAATAAACCAAAAGGCTGACAGAGCACGGAGGCATATGACGGCCCTGCAGTCCCCAGGACTGCATGGAGAAAGCAAAGCACTTGTTTGAGCCGCTTTGTAACTTGAAAAGTATTTAAGCCATGAACCAGCTGAAGGAAAGATGAACAACAAATGCTTCTTGAAACAAGTGAGACAGTGCACTGTGTTTGGGTTCACTAATAGAAGATACTGCCCTAGCGGTTCTCTAGAACCATGCACTCTGCTGGCCTCAGCTAGAGCAAAAGAGATCTCTGGGGTTAGCTGGGAACTGCCCTGACCTAAGTTAACGTCAGGAGGGGCCACCATCTCAAAGAACAAGAGAGCCTTCATTCAGAATTATCTGGAGGGAAGAATTTATTATTCTTTGTAAAAGACAACAATGGATCCCTCTCTAGAGAACCAAACATCTAACCTTTATTCATGAAAATGATTATTTGTGGAACTGGAGAAATGTTCCAGTTGGTAGAGTGCTTATCAGGCTCAGGTACCTGTGTTTGATCCCCTAAACCCACGCAAAATGTTAGGTGTGGTAGCATATACTTAGATATCCCAGTGCTGAGATGGCAGAGGTAGGTAGAGCCCTGAGGTACCCTGGAACTCCCTGGGCAATTAGCCTAGCCTAGGTGGCAAGCTCCAGACCTGGGGGAGACTCTGTCTCAAAAAATAAATAAGATATAGATGGGTCTGGAGAGATAGCACAACAGTTAAGAGCACTTGCTGCTCTCAGAAGACCCAGGTTCAATTCCTAGCACCCACAGAGCAGTTTATAACCACCTGTAACTCCAGTTCCAGTGGTTCTTACGCCCTCTTCTGGCCTCTGCTGGCACTGCATGCACATGTTATACAGGCATACATGGCAAGCATAGCACCCATACACACAAAAAATAAATTAAAAAAAAAAAAAGAACAGCTCCCACAGTTGTCTTCTGGTCTGCACACACTGCACACAGAGGTACTCGCACCTGCATGTGCACATGTACCAGACAGCCACACATACACACACACATAGACTATCTTCTGTATGGCAATCCACGTATGTACATGAAGAAGTGTCACACACATCTTCTCACATAGCTTCACAACTCATTCCCCTGCAGTATCAACTCAGGGTCTCTGAAAGCAGTTTCCTGAAAATGGAGTTCTTAAAGAGTTTGCAAAATCTCTTCTCCCCCGATTCTAAGCAGCTTTGAAAAGTAATCAAACCCATTACCTGTCTTCCTTTTCCATGCCTCTGCCTGTTCCAGCTATGAGTTGCAGCTGAACCAGGCTTGCCCTCCTGATTCAACCCCACGCTGCCGTCCCAGCCACGCAGAGAGGAAGTACTGGGGCCCTGGACACAGAGCCAGCCTGACGGGGCTTCAGCCTAATACTGCCTACGGGGTGCAAGTGGTAGCCCACAATGAAGCAGGCAGTACAGCTTCTGGGTGGACCAGCTTCAGCACCAAGAAGGAGAGTGAGTACACAGGATGTGCCTGGCACAGGAGATGCTGTTTGAGAACTGGCAAAGGCCTGAGTTCAGTTACATGGACTACCCACTGAGACATCATGTCCATAATGACTAGAGAAAACTCCCATGGCATTTATGAGTGTAAAGGTTCAGGGCAAGTGTGTAGTCTAGGCTAGCCTAGAACTTACTATGTAGTCCAGGCTTGGCTGCTCCCGTGGTGTCTGTGCTCCCACCATTGAGGGTTTCAAGTTACACCATAGCAGCAGTCAGAGGAGAAAGAATGGGGGGCAGATGATCATTACATAACCCATCATTCTGTTACAAAAGGGCAAAGAACCCTGGGTGGATGGATAACAGTAAAATGTAATAAATAATAAGAAATGTTAAGAATTTTAACATTTATTGCCCTTTAAATATAATTAAGATTATAGGGCTTAATTTTTAGTAATGGCTAACTTGACTGGCAAGCACAAAACTCCTGATTAGCTGACAACCAGAATTAGCCAGTTTCGTCATACCATTAGGGAACACACACGGTAAGGTAGTAAACGTATTCTGAATATAAAGGAAGTGGGCGTTATAAAGGAGTTATGCAGCTCTGCGTTCAGGTTCTTGGTGGCTTCCTACCTTGATTATTGAGCGAGATGTTTAACCTCTGAAAGAAATCAATTTCTTTCTTTTTAGTTTTTAAAGATCTCTCTCTCTCTCTCTCTCTCTCTCTCTCTCTCTCTCTCTCTCTCTCTGAAAGTCTCTTGCTATGAGAGATAAGGTGCACATGTGTCTTCAGGGTCAACCATATGTTACAAAACATAATTATCCCGTACCATGTATAACCTTTGACGTGAATAATGTAGCCAATGTATTCACGCCCCTCCTTTCCACTGTGTGTGTGTGTGTGTGTGTGTGTGTGTGTGTATCTGTGTATGTGTATCTGTTATCTGTGTGTGTGTCTGTGTGTGTCTGTGTGTGTATCTGTGTGTCTGTGTATCTGTGTGTGTGTATGTGTGTATCTGTGTGTGTATCTGTGTGTGTGTATCTGTGTGTGTGTATCTGTGTGTGTGTGTATCTGTGTGTGTGTATGTGTATATCTGTTTGTGTGTATCTCTGTGTGTGTATCTGAGTGTGTGTATCTGTGTGTGTGTGTGTATCTGTGTGTGTATCTGTGTATCTGTGTGTGTGTGTGTGTGTGTGTATCTCCTGATGCTTTATAAATATCTTGGTTATTTTGGAGAAAGCAAGGTCTCCTGAAGCAGATCTTTCCCCCTCTGCAAGGTGATAGTACATTACTTCATTTGTTCCCTCAACAACATATTTACCTTGAAGATGAGCTACCATTGAGGTCTCCCATTGTGTCTCAGCGAGGAGCTTACAAATGAGACAAGAGGATGCCTGTAAATGTGTACCAGGTTGCTTCTGGATCTGATATAATACTTAGGAGACTCGAGCCTGATTATCTACTAATGTACTCAGCTATTGCTGGATTAGCCGGAGTAATGAGTTATGAGGCTTGGACTGCTGTTTACAAGGCCTTTTAACCACCTCAGAAAACAAACTCACGGTTCAAGAAAAAGCTTTGAAAACAAATGAGTACCGAAAGAGCATAACTCACCATCTAAGCAGTTTGGTTTGCTGCAAAAAAAAGAAAAAAAAAATTAACTTCATCTAGTCCTGGGGCTTCCTAGCAATAAATATTGATCCGATATGAAAAATAGCTATGTACTATAGTTAATAGTGTTAAGGACACTTTATCCGTTAGAGTGGGAAAATACAGCAAAATATCAGCCCTGGGTTATGTTGCTAAGCAAACTCATTGTGTGCTAATAGTTTTATTTATAAATCAGCACTCTCCATTGATTTTTGGAAGCAGCACAAAGCTGCTGAGAGAGCACTTCACACGCGTCCCCTTTGGCCATCCTCCTGTCTTCCACCCTGGTATGGTACTTTTAATGGGTTTCTAGCAACACCCAGGGTTGTCTCTGGTTGGTTGGTTGGTTAGCTGATTTCCTATACCGTTGTTTACACTCTTCTGAAATCACCCTCCCATCCCCAACTCACCCCCTCCATCCCAGAAGTTCCTGTATCTAGAAGCTGTGCTTTCCTCCCCCACAGTGCCTCAGTACCAAGCCCTGTTCTCAGTGGACAGCAACACATCCACAGTGCGGGTGGACTGGAGTGGCACTTTTCTCCTGAATGGCCAGCTAAAGGAGTATGTGGTCACCGACGGAGGACGGAGGGTGTACAGCGGCCTAGATACCACACTCTACATACCAAGGACAGTGGACAAAAGTTAGTAACCGACCCTCTTCTCTGTGTAAGGTGCTCTGGTCCCCAGCTTTAGGAAATGTCAAACCAGAGAGGAGACTTGAGGAGGATTGTCATCAAAATTTCTTGGTTTATATAGCCACTGTCTGTAGAAATCCTACAGCTCAGAATATGTATCTCCTCTCTGTTTGTTACTGGATACATCCAAGGACAGTGCTGTCTCCAGGAATGTTGAATGGCTGCAGGAAGGACCGTGACCAGAGGGCAGGTTCATTTCACAAGACAAACAGCAACACACTTAGTTAGCAGCCATACTGAAGAGTTCCCGGGCGTCCCCCTGTGTCCCCACTTGCAGACAGCACCATCATCAGTATGCGGGTTAGTTTTTTACCATCAACTTGGCATAAACTAGAGTCACCTAGGAAGAAAGAACCTCTGTGCAAGAATTGCCTCCATCAGATTGGCCTGTGAGCACATCTGTGAGGCATTTTCTTTTTTTTTTTTTTTTTTGTGAGGCATTTTCTTGGTTGATCGATTTTCTTGTAGGAGCAAGTGCCTGGGTGGGTTGTGCCATGCTGAGGCATGGCGGCCTAGGCTATGTCCAAAAGCTTGCTCAGCAAGCCAGAGGGAACAAGCCCACCAGTAGTATTCTGCATTGGTTTCTACTTTAGTTCCGACGTCCCCCAATGATGGAATGTAACCTAGAAGTATAAGCCAAATAAGCCCTTTCCTCCCCAAGTTATTTCTGGTCATGGTATTTATCAAAGTAACAAAAAAAAAAAAAACAAAACAAAACAAAAAAAAAAACTACCAGAACACTTGGTGACCATGTCCAGCCTTAAAGCCCTGAGTGAGGGGCTCCCCAAACCTGACGGTAACAGTCCCTACTAGAACCTTCCTTTCCTTTCAGGACTGTACCCAAATTCAACTCCAGTTGAATTTCTTATTTCTCTGACTTGATTTTCAATTGAAACAAGACTCCACAGGGTACTCCAGGTTTTCAAGTCACCTGCATGTTCACAGGGCCAGTGGAGACTGAACCCTTTGAAACATGCATTGGATTTAGATAGTAAATCAGCCCAAGAGTGTTTGGATCTGTTTGTTTAAGCTAAAGGATGACTCTCTAGCTGCATTTGTAGAAACCGAGTTTCAGACCAAGTGAACCACACACACTGTCACGGCTGCTGGTCACCTGGGCAGCTTGCTATAGAGGGAAGATGGCCTGACAGTTGGCGGATCTGGGTTCTACCTGAGTGGGCCTCCAACCATCTGTGTGACCTTGCAAGAGACACAGGGTCCTGGCCAAAACAAAAAAATTGAAATGGGAATTTGGATCACATGATTCCCAAGTTCCTCTCTGAGCTCTTTTTAGTCAAGAAAGGTATTCCTGAAAGTCTTAAAGGAAAAGGTGTCCATCTAATTCAGATCAAGCTCCACTTCTGTGTGGTCCAAGTCCTTTGCCAGTGCTGCCTTGCTGCTCTGGGTAGAAGTTCTGATCTCTCTCCATCCACCCTTATGGATATGCTGCCATCAGCCCTTTTGCTGATTGACTTTTTAATTAGAAGTTTGCATATTAGATGTCAGTCGGCTTTTCCTTGCTATGACAAATGCCTAAGACAGTCAACTTTATAAGGAGAAGAGATTTATTCCATCTCGTAATGATTCTCATTTGTGATCTGCTGGCCACAGCTTAGACCCTGTGGTGCGGTAGCGCATGGCAGAGCCTCTTCAAGGTCCCTGTCCCTCCCTCCCAGCAATCCAGGAAACAGTCACTACTGTGATGTAGTGCACCTTTGCAGAGCCTTTAGCACCTAAACTGTCTTAGTTTCCCTTCTGGCGCTTTGGTCGCCTGACAAAGGGGAGTTAAAGGAGAGAGATTATATTAGCTCCTAATTCCAGGTTACAGTCCATCACTGAGAGAAAGTCAAGGCAGCAGAAACTTGAAATCACTGGTTGCATTCAGCCACAGTCAAGAGCAGAAAGCATGTATGTATGTATGGGTGGCATTTGGCACCTACTCTACTGTAGTAAGGTCCAGGAACCCAAAACCAGGAAACAGAAATAGTAATACCTACTTTTAGGCTGGGTCTTCCTACATCAATGAACACAACCATGACAATCTCTCGAAAAACTGACCACCATGGGTAACATTAACAATCAGTTCGCTCTGGGGTGTTAGTTTCTTTGCTCTTTCCAGATGACACCCCTTTTAGCTGGTGTTAAATACTGGACACTTACCTGTTCTTTCTTTTGTCTAGCTTTCTTCTTCCAGGTCACCTGCACGACAGACATTGGAAGTGTAAAGACTCCATTGGTCCAGTATGATGCTGCTACTGGATTTGGTAAAATTTCTCTTGTCTTGTGTTTAGTGTAGCAGCTACTCAATGTCCTCAAGAGACGGGCAAATGTCTGTGTCTAGACACTGCTAACACATTAGTGGTAGACTTGATGGAAGAAACTGTGCTGTGTCATAAAGGAAGAAATTAAAGGAAGGAAGGAAAGAAGGAAGGAAGGAAGGAAGGAAGGAAGGAAGGAAGGAAGGAAGGAAGGGAGGGAGGGAGGGAGGGAGGGAGAGAGGGAGGAGAAAGAAAGGGAGGGAGGGAGGGAGGGAGGGAGGGAGGGACAGAGGAGGGAGGGAGGGAGGGAGGGAAGGAGGGAGGGAGGGAAGGAGGGAGGGAGGGGGGAAACTTTACAGGCCCTAATGAAACTTCTGCTAGACAAGGAGTTAGGGTTACTTTCAAAACCCAAAATCACTAAATTGTCAATATGGCAAACACCAGAGAGACCTGATTAAACTTCTCTTCTGAACAAATATTTTCTCTAAATTTATGACTTCATCTACAGAAGGGTGGCAGAGAGAGTCCAGGGAAGATGAGAAGATGGAAGACAATGGGTGGCCAATTCAATTTCTGTTGGTCCAAAAGATGTTCTTGAGTCAGAGCCTATAGTGGTGAACTGGGGATGTTTCAGTCTGTATCCTTCATGGATTTGGATGGCTTACAGGCTAGGGAGATGTCTCAGTGAGGAAAACACTCACCACACATTCATGAAAACCTGAGTCTGAATCCCCAGGACCCATTTAGAGGCAAAGATGGTGCCATAGTCTGTAATCCCAACGCTTCTAAAGCAAATGAGAAGTGAAGACAGGAGAATCCCTAGAAATTCAGAGGCCAGCTAGCCTAGCATACCATTAGCAAACAGGAGACCATGTATTAAACAAGGTTGAAGGCAAGGACTGACACCTAAGGTTGTCCTCTGACCTCAGTATGTTTCTTCACAACTCTCCTCCCGACTTGTTTCAATCAACAGCTATCCTTTTCCCATACTGTACATACTTGGGTATACTATAGATCTGACTTAACATGACCCTTCCCATATAGCTAAGCTCATTATATTCAGAGCTGTGAGACAGAAAGGGCTTCATTGGATAAACTTCAAGAACTCCGGTTTTCCCAGTTGGATAGTCCAGGAATGCTCTGCAATCCTGTGTGGGTGCTCACTCACTCAAACGTAGTCTTCCTACCCACTCCTGGCCAAGACATTCTCTTCAGTGTGTTTATCTGATTTACATGTTCATAAGAATCAGCTCTGTGTGCTTGCTAATTATACAGATCCTCAGGTCCCTGACACATATGCAGATGAGAGGGGACTGAAGACTGTGGGTTTGGAAATAGGTCCTGTCACATGCTTCTGACACTGGGCCCCAGCACCTCATGCTGACTGATTCATATTCCACGTCAGTTCAGGTCAGATTCATTTGACTCCAGTTACAAAGTCAGGGTTTCTTCGTAGCCAGCTCCTGTCACTTGATTGACAAAGCAGGGCCCCCAAATAAAAGTACAGTCTGAAAGGAAAATGGAAGGCTGGACAGGATCCCGTTTTCAGCCTGTATCACAGGACGGCAACTTTGAGACAGCTCCTGAGATAGGTGGAGCTTCCCACTGTGGGAAAGCTGGCTGAAGGTAGCCCCTGTGTCTGGAAAAGGCTCTTAGTAGAGCAGAGAGGGGAGATTCAGTGGACTGCTGCTGGTGCTGAGCTGTGCTGCCCAGCATTTATCTCTAGTCAGTTTTAATTTTCATGATATAATTTCTAAAGCGTTCCAGTTCAGATGCCTGAAGGCAGCCTCCAAGCGGGAGAGAAGCAGACAGTGTCTCCTACTGCTGAGCGTTCCCCTTTGGAGGCTTCCTCCAGGCACCCTGCCCTTCATCCCCTATGTACTCCTGAGCAAAGAGCACATGGAGCCAATCGGATGTCCCTGGGGTCCCAGTGCTGTGTCACACACACAGAAGAACTTTACTCTTTTCTCCCGTGCAGCCAAGGTTTGGTTTTCAAACGCCACATGGCTTCTCACTGTGAAGGGGCTTCCAGCCTGCTGGAGATTTGTCTTCAACCCTTTGTTTCAGAAGTGAGGAAGAAGGGGCCCAGGGCATCGGTGACTTTTCAAACCATGTCTACTCTTCTCAGGGTCTGGACTTAGTTTAAGTCACCTTCTAACATTGTCCCTGAGGACAGGCATGTGATGGCCTGGCACATCATCCCTGCTTTCTGTTTCTGATCTGCTCAGAGCAGGGAGGTATCCAGAGAGCATGAGGCTTTCAGTGCCATTAGCTTCTCCTCACCTCTGGCACTGGTGTTCAGTAGGCAGGGCTTTGGCTCTCAGCTTCAGGCCAGCCCAGGAGGCGGCTGCATCATAGACATGAATCTCTAAGCTATTTTCAACGAAAGGACCAACAGCTGATGTAAGGCCCTCTCCATCAGTTAGCCAACCAATGGCATGATTCTACTGCCATATGCTGTTCTGTAGGGAGCCCATAGTCCCTTCCCCACTGTGCTGCTCTCCTATCCCCACATACAAGGCGATTCTACCCGCCATATCTAGAAAGCCTCAGAGCTCATCGTGTGATCCAGCTCTCCTTCATTGTCACAGAAGATCTGAGAAAAAACAACTTAAGGAGAGGTTTATGTAGGATCGGGGTTCCAGAGATGTCCGGCTGTGGACAGTTGTCCCTATTGTCCCTGAGTCTGAGGCTGAACACTGTGGTGGGAACCACATGACAGAGCATAGACGTTACCTCATACTTAATGACAACCACAAAATAGAGACAGATGGGCCTGGCCCAAATGCACCCGTCATGTCATGTCCTCTTGTCATGTCTTTGGCGACTTACCTCCTCCAGCCAGGCCTCCCCTCTCAGCAACCCATTAAGGCACAACCTTGCCAGTGGATCTGCCCATTGGTGAGGTGGGAACCTTAAAGATATAGTCACTATCATTGACTCATCCCCAAACTCTGCTGTCCTAAGGACCCAGCATTCCACACAGATCCAAACTGGAACACTCACTGAACTTTCTTGAGTGTTCATGTGAACTTTGACTGCTTAGAAGATAGTATCAACGTTATCACACAAATCTAGGAAAGAGCTATAATGGATACTTCCCTCCATAGGAGGCTCCCCCAGTATATGTGAGATGATTTTTAGAACATTGGCTAATTAACAGAGCCCAAGCGACAAGCCATGGCAAAACTGTAGTAGGAGCATGCAGTTGACATTCACAATCGAAAAGATCTGATATCTCAAAATCCAGTTTGCACAAACCCTCTGAAGATTAGAGCTGTTGCCTGAGGTGAGGGAGCCTTGGATACCCTAAGTATATGTCTTGGCAATTTGGGAGAGCCCACTGCTCAGGACATACCACCAAGGGTGGGGGAGACCCTCTTAAAGATTGCTGTTTCCTGTCTACCTGCCACTCTTTCTAAGGTCATGGTGGTCTGCAGCACTGTGAGCTGCTGACCGTTCCTCTGCAGCACTGTGAGCTGCTGACCGTCCCCCTGAAGCACCCCAAGCTAATACTCTGGCTCACATGCAGTTAGATTCATATGCACAGGAGGTTGTGTGTCTCAGTCGAATCACAGCATCCAAAGCCACAAGGTTGCCTTCTGAAAGACTCTATTTCTTCCTGTGGGTCTTGCAGGCCTGGTGCTGACAACTCCTGGAGAAAAGAAGGGAGCAGGGATCAAAAGCACAGAGTTCTACAGTGAGCTGTGGTTCATCATGGTAATGGCCGTGCTGGGCCTGATCTTGCTGGCCATTTTTCTGTCCTTGATTCTACAAAGAAAACTTCACAAGGAGCCATGTATCAGAGAGAGACCTCCCTTGGTACCTCTTCAGAAAAGAATGACCCCCCTGAGTGTCTACCCACCCGGGGAAACCCATGTGGTAAGTATGGAAAGATAGACTTTTCCTGGTGTGGCTTGCTTTCATTCTTATGAATTCACTTATTGCTCACTGACAATAAGTGACAGCTGTTTGGTGAAGTATCTATGCACAAAGTCATACCAGCAAACATAGGTAATTTAACTTCATCCTCTCCAATTTAGATGGTCTTTAAACCTTTCTCTTGCCTAACTGCTCTTGCAAAGACTCCGGTACTATGGTAACAGCAGTAAGGATGGGCAGGCATCATTGTCTTCTTTCAAAAGAGAGAAAGGCCTTTTCCTTTTGCTCTAGTATATGATTGCTTTTATTGTAAATGTCCTTTATTCTATGGAGGAAAAATGATGACCCCTATGGTTTCTCTTCTTCTGTTGATACAGGGCATCACATTTCTTGATTTGTATATGTTGAACCATCCTTGCATGCCTAGGAACAATTCCATTTATCATCAAACACACACACACACACACACACAAATAGCTATAGGTTCATACCCAATGGACACAGGAGCAAATATTCTCATTATATATTAGTGTGTGTGTGTGTGTGTGTGTGTGTGTGTGTGTGTGTGAATGAAAATACCGAGGCCAATTCTGATGACTTGTAAAGCAGTAAAAATCAGTGTCTTGGTCTGTCTGCATTTGCATGCAGGCTGGCTCAGTTCTCTGGTATATAAGCATCAACTTGGACTTCAATTACTAATATATAATGAGAATGTTTGCTCCTGTGTACATTGGGTAAGAAATCTATAGCTATTTGTGTGTGTGTGTGTGTGTTTGTGTGTGTGTGTGTTTGTGTGTGTGTGTGTGTACATGTGTGGTAGTACTGTATGCTTGATTGTGTTGGTTTCTGTTTGCCTGGTGTGTGTGTGTGGTCATACTGTATGCTTGATTGTGTTGGTTTCTGTTTGCCTGGTTTAGTATCAATCAAGGTAATGTTAGCTTCATAAATAGTTTGAAAGAATTCTAGTTATTTTGGATTTTTAGAATAACTTTTCAAAGTATAGAAATAGATATCCTTTAAAAAGCTTCCAATAAAGCCATCAGATCCTGGACATTTTTAAAGGGAAGATTTAATGTTTTAAAGATTTTATCCTATTTTTAATTATGTTTATGTGTCTGTGTATGAATATGTGCGTGTGAGCCTGCAGAGGCCGGAAGGCATCAGATTCCCCTGGGGCTGGAATTACAGGTAGTTGTGAGATGCTCTAAGAGTGCTAAGATCAAAACTTGGGTCCTCTTCAAGAGCCATGAACACTCTCAACAGCTGAGTCATCTTCCCAGCCCTGAGATGAAAGAATCTCAATTGTTCCAACATCATTTGCTGATTATTAGTCAGATTTTCTGTTTACCTTGATTCACTTTGGGGCATATTGTATATGCTCAAAATTTACTGATTTCTTCTAATTTTTCCAGCTTTTTATAGTTGTTCATAGTAGATTTTATGAGTGTGAATTTCTGGGGGACCATTATTACCTTCTGGTTATTAGGAAAATGTTACTCAATGTGTATTTGTTCACTTTCCTTTCTCCTTGTTCTAAGATTGTGGTTTTAAGATGTCATAGTCCAGAGTAGAATTGTGGGGTTTCAATTTTATTTTAACTGATTAAACCTTGATTTGTGGCTTGATTGCTCTGTCCTCAAGATCCTTATGAAAGGAATCTATGTGCTGCCATTGGATGAGATGCTCAGTACCTGTTAGGAATGCTTGTTCTGAAGTATGCTTCTATGCAGCTGTCTCTTTGATGGTTTGTGTTTGCAAGATGCGCCCAATGAAGAAATCTGGATGTTGAAACGCCCAGCTTCTACTGAATTAGTTTGTCTTTCCCTTTAGAGTTAAATTTCTGTTTATTGGGAAGCCCATGTTGGGCACTGTTTGATATTGCTGGAAAGAAACACCATGACTAAAGTAACATAGAAAAGAAAGTATTTAATCAGAGGCATGCTTAACAGTTTCCGATGGTGAATTAATGATCAGTATGGCAGGGAGCATAGCAGCAGATAGGAATCCACTGGAGTAGTAGAAGAGATGTTATATACTGAGACAACCATGGTGGTGGAGGAAGTAAAATTGGAATGGCTCAATCTCTCAATTTACAGGGGTTACAGACCTGAACTACCAAGCTCAGATCATTTTCTGTTCCCATTTGTGTGATATAAATTTTCCCCAAACTTTTATTTTTAGTATACATGGTGTATCTTCATAGTGAAGCAATGAAGTGAGTTTCTTGTAGGCAGCATAAAGTTGTGTCTTAGGATTTTTGTTGTTTGTTCTCTTGCTTTATGTAATGGGGAGGCCAGAATGGCTTGCAACTCATAATCTTCCTGCCTCTGGTTCCTATCTACTTACATTACAGTTGTGCACCACTATATCTGGCTTTAAATTAATTCTTAATTCTACCAATCTATTATCTCTTGATTGGTGAATTTAATCCATTTATGGCAAGAATGTTATAACATCTTCTGTCATTTTGAAAACCGTAGTTTGCTTTCCTTGTATTTGTTTTTGTGATTTGACAGCATCTAATTTTTAAATCTTTCTCTTTGGGGTGTTGTTCCAATGAGTCTCACACATTTGTGTTTTTATGACAGCAGTTACAGTCCCCTTATTTCTAATTAGGATGCTCCTGTGTTTCTTATTGTTGGCAAATTCCTAAGTTCCTCTTTAGATAAGATAGGAAAGACTTTACTTAGGGAGTATTATTTTAGTATGTTTCCTATTCCTTATTTTAAATATGAAATACCATTCTCTTCTAGTTATAAATTTTCTGTGAAAACTCTGCTACAAATCTGAGGAGCCCCTTAATGTTTTGAGAATTCTTTGTCATATATACAATATTTAGTAAAATATGCCATGGTTGAGATATCTTTTGGATGAAGGTAGTTTGGGTTCTTTCACTGATATCCATATCTCTTAAGATTTTAGTTTTTTAAAATGTATTATTCTGTTCATATATTTATACAATATATATTGATCATATCTATCCACCATTATGTCCCTATAATTCCCCCACCATTACCCATCTTCTTGCAAACTTAATGCTTTCCTTTTTAATAATTTGTTATTAATGCGAATCCTCCAGTACAACTAATGCTGCCCATGTGTTCATGGGTGTGTAGGGCCACCCCCTGGAGCATGGGAAACCTATCAATGGCCACATCCCCCAAAGACCATGTTTCCTCCCTCAGCAGCCAACAACTGCCAATAGCTCTTCCGATCAGAGTGACACATGATGTAACTGTGGCTGGCTTAGCCTTGTGCAACCATAGCTGTTGTGAATTGATTTGTGCAACAGCCCTGTCCTATCCAGAAGTTACATACAGATCTCCTTCTTCCCACCCACCAGCTCTTAGGGAATTTACAGCCATTATTTTATGAGTTTCGTCAGTTTCTATAATTCTTAAGATGCAAATATTAGGTCACTATAAGCCTTGTAAGTTTCATTGGTCCATTTTCATCTTAATGTGCTAATATCAGTAAGCTGTCTCCCAAGTTCAGAATTCCTTCTTTAGTTTGTCCTATGGAAAATTTCCTTCAATTATTTTTTTTTTCATTTTACCCATGAACGACTCTTGATTCTTTTACTGACTTCTCTCTTAGTGAATCCCTCACTCACCTACATTTTCCCATCCTTCTTTGTACTAGTCCATCTGTACTCATGTCTCAGTTTCCTTAGGATCATGTTTACTGTTTCAGGAATGTTGCAGATTTCCTTCAAATTTGGATGTGTTCTTGGGGAATTCTTATTATGTCTACTGTAACTTTTTTTCCATTTTTATACAGTCATTTTTATGGGAGAAGGGTTGTTGTCATTACATTTGGTTTTAACAGAGCCTGAAAACATCATCTCCTCATCTTTGGCTCACTATCACATCAGGTGTGTTTGAAGTCTTTAACAGTCTAGACTGCAGCATTCATGGTGGTACTGATTTGTTTTGAGGTAGACACAGGCTTAGAAGGGTATGTGTCTTTAGGCTCAACAGAGTCAGCTCCATAGCCCTAGGGTGGTGAGCAGTTGCCAGTCTAAGTGGTGTGGGTATGGAGAGGGACATATTCCTTGGGGCAAGCACAGGCTATGCTGAAGTTTGTGGCACAGCCATGATAGTTCTTTAGCCCACATTAGGATTGGCCTTTTTTTCAGGTCCCATAGATGTTCAAAGACAGTGATAGCATCTATGGGCCAATCAATTGTGGACCTTCCCTAGGCCCTGTAGGCAAGGACAATGCAGAAGACAGGGAACAAGCACACATGGCACCAACAGGTATGGCCCCAGTCCATGAACTGCAATGTCCCTCCCGTCTCTCAGTTATCTAGCACACAGTTTTCACTAAGACTTGTGCTCTGCCATACCCACTCCTAAGGAGGACACACAAACAACTTTCATCTTTGTCTCTCAAGTCAAGTATGGATGGTTCTGAGGCGTGGGGCTCTGTTCTCAAATAATCCTACTGCTTCAGAGCCTGGATGGGGGTGCCCCTAAAAAAAAGCTATTGTGTGCTAACACCTACGATGCTGATAACTACCATTCTGGATTTGATGTACATAGACTCTTTCCCTGAATCCCAGGGGCAAGCTTGAATGATTATTCTTTTTCTACCTATAGCTCCAGTCTTAAAATTCCAGTCAGGAGGGAGAGCTCCTATAGATCCTCTTATGCAGTGTTAGCAAGGTTAGAGACACTGGTTACTATGTTCTGAGAAGCCAAATGGTTTGGCTCCCAAAGCACAGGGGAGATTGGCATGTTCCTACAATGGCTGTAGTCCCAAACTTCCTAGATGGAAGAGGAGCTCCCTAGATCACACGCGGTGGACAGTAAGTGTTGGTGGGGGCCTGGACCACTTCTGTTTCTGGACCTGCTGGGTTTTCCTAATACTTTTTGTCAGCTGTGGAGACATGGATAAAACCAGGAATTTTCAGCAGTGATTCCAGTCCACCTGTGGTGTAGAAAGATCCTCCCCAATTTGTGAGCTTGTGACCACAGCAGCTGCTGGACTTTAAACTGCAGGATCCTGTGAGAACAATCTTCTGACCAGAAAAGTAAGATACATACTGGCCTAAGTATGTACTACCCCTTTGGGTGAGACCTATTATTTGACTTCTATTCCTTATGCCAAGATGTCATCAAGAGGGGGCTGTTATGGCCTGGGTATGGTCTGGGAGAGGTTCAGAGTGAGTGCCTTCCTTGGTTCATGGGATTCACTTCTCAGTTTTAATTTGTGCTGAGACTGAATGCAGGACCTTGCACATGCTAGAAAAGTGTTCTGTCACTAACCCACAATCCTAGCTGGGAGTTGCTTGTACAACAATCATCTCCCCAAGCTACAGTTTTCACTCGTAAGTCCAGTGGCTGTCTCACTCAGGTTGCCTGTTTGATGCTATGGTCCACATCATTGGCACTTGCTTGTAACATCTGGTTCTATTCCGGACAGGACTCCATTGACAATGTGTAGCATCTGGGTCCATCCCAGACAGAATGCCACTGACAATGGTGCACATTGCTTCTCTCTATTCTGTAGGTCACCTTCTGCTGACTGTTCTTGCTCTTTAGGGTTTCTACCACTTGGTTTCTGGAGTTTATCCTCTCAGCTCCAACTCTCTTCTGTCATAGAGCTGAGTGAAGGGTATTCCCCGGCCATCTTGGTTCTGAACTCCTGAAACAATGTTAAACAAAGACTGATGCACCCATTTGATTTTTTCTTCTCAGTTTGATTCTGTGGCTGATATATCTGACGTGTCCAGCAATGTCACCCTAAAAAGTTACACCATGCATTTTGAGGTACCTCTGCATGCTGCACGGATATCATCTGATCTTTTGCATGTTGTATTCACTGTTCAGACCATTAAATTAGAAACTCTGGATGTTTCAGTCAGCTAGAATTTACTGTAAGAGAATATCTTAGATTATAATTATGGAGGCATCCATCATGCCTTGATGGTGATAGTGACCGAGTTGATGAGGTACAGACCAGAGATTCCTATAAGAAGGTAAATATGTGAATAAGAGGAAGGGAGAGATCACTTCCCACACATGCCCAGAACCCTGAAAATGAAATATGTATTGTTCATAGTGGACAGCCATGAAATAATATAGTTCACTTTTAATGTGGTGGAAGAGAAGCTCGAGGGGCAGGTTCCATGTCAATGTGCAGGTACAGAGCACTTTAATCCAGACCCAATCCCCTGGTTCCACTGATTGGTAGGCCTGGTCCCATAGGAAGAAACAGCAACCAAGGCAGGGCACGAATGCCCTAGAGAATATAGCATTGTCATTAACACCAGCAACAGTAGCACATTGTCTCAGGGAAACAAGGACACAATATTCCAGGATTTCTGTTGTAGAGTTGTAGTTCTGTTGGAGGAGGCTTGAGGAAGCCATCCCATTCTATCATTTGTGTGGATTCTAGTTCCCAACCAGACACCACCTCCTACCCATCTCCGTCATGATGTGTGGGTTCCAGTTCCCATCCCCCTGCCCATCTCCAACAGCAGCTTCTTTTGCAGGGATTAGCCGACACCAGACTCCCTAGGTCTGGGACACCTTTGAGTATTCGGAGCAGCCAAAGTGTGTCTGTACTACGGATCCCAAGTCAAAGCCAACTGAGCCACGCCTACTCCCAGGGCTCCCTCCATCGCAGCGTCAGCCAGCTCATGGACATTCCAGACAAGAAGGTGGTGATGGAGGACTCACTATGGGAAACTATTATGGGCCACAGCAGTGGACTGGTGAGTGTGTCTGCCTTTTATACACACACCGCTGCATTGTGCACCCAACTATGTTATAAACTGGCTAAATTAACAGTGTTGCTGTGTGGTTAGCAGGGTAGAAACTGCTGTTGACCTACTGTATGATAAAGCACTCAGCAAATACAGGGAAAAAAAAACAGAAATGGACCTAAAGAAGGCATTAAAACTACTTGGTTTAACTTTAAACCTCCAGAAAACCATGATACATATATTACTGCTATTCGTTCATCCATTGAGACAATTGAGACAAGGTTTTGAGTCTCAATGACAAGTTTCTCCTGTCTCAACCTCCTAAATGCTAGAATTTCAGGCATCTACTACCATGTCCCTGCTTTAAAAAACAACCAAGAATGCAGCACTGGGGACTGAACCCAGGCTCTGTGCTAGACACACACTCCACCACCTGAGATATGTCACCAGCCCTTTGTCACTATTCATGAGCTTCGTCTTTCATGGATTTAGTCCTGTGGTTCAGACCCTAGCTTGGAGGGATCAGCTGTCATCTCTTGTCAGCTCCAAGCTCTCCAGTGTCTGAGAAGACAGACTTGGTAGGAATTTTTACCAACTAAGCTACTTTTCATCCTAGACATCTGCTGGACTGAGTAGGTTTCCATTTGGCTGGTAAGAGAAGACACTGAGGGCAGAGAGCTTAGCTCTCCAGTGTCCATTGCCTCCCAGCCAGCTGCATGTACAGGAGCTCCAACTCACCTTTCCCATGTTTTCTGCACTTTCCCTTCACTGCAAAGTGGGCAACTTCCATGATTTCATTTTTGACTAATGGCATATGGTCAGGGTAAAGGGATTCATTGTTGGGCTCCAGATCCCCTTTTCTGCCATCACCTGAACCTTTTGTGCTTGTCCTGAAGATTAAATATATATAATGAAGTTTAAAATGATCTTCCGGGGGGGATGGGGTGGCAGGTCAGTTGGGAGAGTGCCCACCTAGAATGCATGAAGCCCTGTCCAGTCCCAACCACCACACTAACATGGAACACTGTAGTGCATACCTATGATGCCAGCACCAGGAGGTGGGAACAGAAGAATCAAAACTTCAGGGTCATTCTTAACTACATGCAAGTTTGAAGCCACCTGGGATACATGAGACCTTGTCCCCAACACACCAAAAAGCCTTTTTGAAAATCCTGCCTGATCTTATCACAGCTCACCCAATTACATAATCTCATTCCGGATCTAGTTCTTAAATGGCAGGGTTAATTAGGCTGAAACCAACAATTGCTAAATTATCTTTTCCATCTGAAACAGAAATGTGTTTGGTGTAACACATGACAACTCACATGGAACACCTTTCCTGTAATCTTCATGCAGCTCTAGGAAGGGCTATTAGCATCACTGTAGAAAAAGCCTAGGGTCAGAGGTGCCTGGGACCTCCCCAAGAACACATTAGCACCTTTTTCTGAATTGAGATCATTGGCTTTACTTGAAACAGCTGCAGACCGTGGCCATGTGTGTTTGCCCGGTGTACAGTTCTAAGTGGAGGGCAGTGTACAGAAGGGGTCAGTGCCAACACCGTACAAGTTATTGGCTTATTATGACCTAACACTAACCCTGTTGATAAATACAGTACAGCATAGGAAGCAACAGGGTGTAATAACTGGGGTTATCTTTTATTCTTTCTTAACTAAATCTTTTAAATGAAAACTACCTATATATAGATTCAAGTTTCCCCTATCCTACAGATAAACTGAGCCTCTCAGAGGCTAAGATATTAGCTGAGCTGGATTAGCACGTGACCCCTTCAATGAAGGGAATTTAAAGGAAGCACATCCTAGTGCTTACAGCACATCCTAGTGTTGAGCATAGGCAGCTTTTAATTCACTGAACATGTTTTCTATCACAGCGATAGACTAGGAATGAGGAGCAAACACTAATGACAGTTCAGTATCTTACACAGTGACTGGCTTGCTTTTCAGTATGTGGATGAAGAGGAGCTAATGAACGCCATCAAGGGTTTCAGCTCCGTGACCAAGGAGCACACCGCCTTTACCGACACCCACCTATGAAGAACTGAAGTTAGAACACGGAACCCTGGGGTGCACATTCTGTAACCTCTTTTTTTTTTTCTAGTTGTCACCACACGTGATAAAAGTTGAAAAACACTGAAACAAAATGTTTAAACAAAATGTTCTTCCTAATAGAGACTTAAAAAAAAATATTATATTTCTGCTTGTCTCAAATAAGGAAATTGTATTCATACTTAAATGCTTGCATTGCCTTGCTGATTGTGTGGAAAGCAAAGCATGTAACTTGCTGGGCTCTGCCTGTGACTCTGTTTGTTAAAGGAATATTCTAGCCCATTTCAAGATAACCCAAACTTGTTATCTGTTTAAATCCAAGCAGGTCTGCTAAGAGGCTAGACTTGCTCTTTCCAACCTGCTATTTCTACCAGAGAGGAAGAAACCTTAAAGCAACAGCTGCATTAGCCATCACAGTTCCCTATGCGCACAGGTTAAGGTTCTAGAGCTGTGGCTTCCAACAGTGCAGGCGTCTTTCAGCTGTGCACAGTTCTCACAAGCTGTTCCTAAGGACTAAGAAGCTCGCCCCCTCACTGAAGTCGGTAGGTTGTTACGACTGGACACCTTTGCTTGAACTGAGGTCTTGTTTTAAAATGAAAACTTGTGAAATCGTCAATCAGTACTTTCCATAAAATATAAATCTGCTATTCCTGGAAAACAACTTAAGAAAAGCCTCCTTTCCTTCAGTCTTAGGGTTCTAGGAAATTATTCTGAGTCTATGTGACAATATCTTGTGGATGATGCCAAGAGGCAGGTGGAAAACGCTTTAGGGGGACCAACTTGCTTATTTGGCTAGAGACCCACAATTTACTGCCATGATCCAACTGTCTAAAACTGGACTTTGGTAGCGCTGGACTGTCACCCAAATCTGTGACAGAGCAGCTCCCAGATACTTGCCACTATAAACATCAAAGCACAGACCTGGATTAAACAGTTCTGCTACAAACACAGGCCACAGTGCCTGTGCAAACCATGGCATGCACTTTCCTGTCTTGCCAAAAGACTTGTACCTTTTGAATTGGAAAGAGAACTGACCAGCCTACTGGGTTTTCTCTCACATAATCTTTAGGCTATAGCAACAGTGGGCCTACCCCTCATGGCTACAGCTTTGAATGAGGTCCTATAGTGGGCAGCATTTTTCTGATCCAGAACAAAATCATTAGTGAGAAACAGTTGTCTCAACACCACCTCTTAAAGACTTAAGCCTAATGTCTAGGGAGTGTGACCCCCATGGAGTGTGAAGGAAATAGTCAATAATTTTATTCTTTGGCGATAGTTCCCTGCTGTGTGTTTAGAGCCATGAAGGTGGCCAACATTAATCACTTCTTTTTAATTGTCAAGGCAAGTTGTGGACCTGGTCCTCACAGGAGTCACTGGGGCTTGACAGGCACCTGTGGCTCTTCTGGCCTCTCCTTTATCTTTATGTATGGCTAAGACAAAACCCTTTCTTAACCATGGCTTCACTTGAAAGTATGAAGGAAATCTCTCTGTTGACACACTTTTTGTAGACTGAACACTGGTTAGAGATGACTGGACTCCCTCCCTGAACAAGAAAACAGGTGATTCTGGGACCCAGTCGACTTTGGGGAAAAGGGGGAAATATTCTCCGTTAATCCCTCTGAGCATATCAGTCTCCCAAGTATGGCTCCTGGACACTTTAGTTTTTAGATGAAGCTAGGGGAGGGGGGAACAATTAAACTTTGTTTAGACATTTTTTGTTTTTTAATCTAGTCCGTGTAATTGCTACAGAGTAGATCCATGACTCTGATTTAAGCAGTTTGTTAAAATGTATTGAACTTTGACCTTTTACATACCTTACACAACTTGCCCCTGTAACTTGCTTATGTTTTCCAGCTTTCTTTCCCATTCTGGAAAAACACCCAACTTTCTTATGAGAATTAATAACAGTAACGGGCTGACAGTCTGAACAAACCTACCTGTGGTCTCTCCACATCAGTGTGGCTGACGTCGTGACAGTCGTTTGGCTTCAATGATAGTGTTGTGTAATAGCACCGTAATAAAAGAAAGTTGAATCCAAACTACATCCGTAGTAACTTAATACCACCCGCACACACACTGCTACACTGTGGGCCTCGCTGGGTTCCCAGGTAAACCTCACAGAAAACAGTCTTCATCCAGGACACAGGGCAGTCTGCCACAGTGGTGTTCTTGGTTGAGTCTGAGCAGCACATAACAAAAACTGGCGCTGAGTTTCCTCTGAGAGGTCTGCTCTTCACTGGCTGCTTTATTTTCATCACAAGCTAAGTAGTCATGATGCCTCTACTCCTTGATTCTGTGGCAGGGAGGAGCACCAGAGAGCCAGCCTGACTCAAGAAATGGAGCTGTGGAGAGCATTTGAAGACCAAAGCGCTTGCATCTGAAACTCCAGAGTCAGCTCCTCAGGGAACTCAAACAGCACAGGACAATTTGATGCACACAAGGCATTTTTTCCTCTTCTATAAAACTGAAAACAGTGGCTTACAATAATCAGACCTGCTGTTGAGTCCACTGACAACTGACCTAAAATACCTGTCCTTATAACTAGTAAAGGCTGGTCCAGACGAGTGTCATCAGCTACTGGGTCATACCATGGGGACAGGGATAGACAGACACAGAAAACAGGTTTCTTCCCTTTTGGAACCTTTAAATTTTATACAAGCCCAGTGAGTGCTGGAGTACCCATAATCAGGGATTAAACTGATAGAAGTATCTGCCTTTCCCAGTGGTCTACTGAGATCCTTTCTGGTTAGCCTTGAGGAGCCAACTGCTTGTAAGCCTGTACCCACAGCAAGTCTGGGTATTTGCAAATGGAGGCAGACAAGATGAGAAACTCAATATCCTGTTTTTCCTTTGGTTCTTCTAATGAGTAGGCTCCCTGAATAAAGGTGGGTGTGAATTCTCCTGTCACCTCATGTGAGGGAAACATCCCAGGGTAAATTGGGGATACACTCAGAAAAGAGTATCAGAGGATTCTGAGTCTAGTTGTGCCCAGTGTTAAAGCAGCTGAGTGCTGACAGTAGGAAACTTGGAGCCTGTTTGTCCCATCTACACTGAGACAGAGGAAGAAAGACAGGAGTCTTGGGCCAGGGTGGTCTTTTCTATGACCAAATCTCCCAGTCTGTGGTGCATAGATGAGTCACTGGGCAGAGACTGGATGAAGAGTGGGTCTCAGCACCTACCTGTGGCTCAGTTCCCTGCAGCTCCCAATTCCTCTTGCAGTCTTTCTCAGAGCCATCTTGTCCTCTTGTCTGTCCCTGCATGGCCTTTGGCTCAGGTCACCATATACCTGCTGCCACCTCAGAACACTTGGCTAACCATGAGAGCTACTTCTCCATGTCACTTAAGTCATGCGTGTTCAGAGACTGCACAGCATGTGCACTTCTCTGCTCCTGTGTCACGTGATCCCGAATCCCAAAATTAAGGTATCTCCAATGACCAGTGGTTTACCCAAGAGCAGAGCTGGAGGTGGAACCAGATGGGGGAAGGAGGAACAGAGGCTTCAGCTACCAGGGGTGCAGGGCAGAAAGAACAGGCAGGAAGAGCAGTGGAGCCTTCACCTCCAGCCTTCCACCCAAGCAGGATGATGCGTCTCTGCCTCTGTTGCTGGCAGCAGCTTGTCCTGCACCTGGCCCCACTCCACGGCAAAGTCACAAGAACTTCCCAGCTCTTCCCATCCTAGTCCACGGGCAGCTCACTGGGAAGGCTCCAAAGCCTCCTTCAGGAACCAGTAAGTTCACAGAGCTATGCTGCTGAGACAGAGCCCTCTCCAATTCTTCCACAGACTGACTGTTGCTAGAAGCAAACCCAGGGCCTTCTACGAGTGTATGTAATTCTGTTACTGGCATATCCCACCTGCAGCCCCACCTGCTGGTGCTCTTCCATTTGGGGGAACCTCAAGAGCCCACTGTCTCTTTTAAGGACAGAAGGGAGCCTGGTCTGGAAAAGGAGCATGTGTGCAGGGAACATCTGTAAGGTTGTGGCTGTTACTGGCTAGATGAGGCAGTCATGGCAGACCCTATTCCGGACACCCCAGCCCTCTCCCACAGAGGACAGAGCTTAAGAGCTCCAAGGAAGAGCTAGGACAAACTTGCAGTAAGTAGCCAGTGTCTAGGACAAACAGTTGAAGCCTATCTGAGGTGCCAGTGCGTAATGAAGCTTTCTTACCCGGAGATAGGCCTTCTCCTCCTAGTAACCTCAACTTAAATTCCAGGCAATCTCTACCTCAAACTCAAAGCAGGTGTGGCTCCACTTCCTCAGCTCTATGTCAGAAAACTCAAGACTAAGTACTAGAATGGCTCAAGAAACAAGAAGTTGAACAAGGGTTTTTTTTTGTTTTTGTTTTTTTTTTTTGGTCCAGCTATCCCACATCCAGATGGCTGTAGTCAGCTTAAAATCTGAGGCTGATCTGAGACTGACTTTCTCCATGCATACCCAGAAAGGACTCCACACCTTCTCTTGACATTCTGTATCATGAATATGGTCAGTGATTGCCTCTTGGGGACCAGCATCTCGTGCTTCTTGACTAAGGCATGGCAGCAGCTCCCCACCCAGTCTCAGGATAAAAGTGTACACTCGGCCAACCTGCTACTCTGCTCTACTCCCCTTACTGGGTGGAGGTGAGAGCTAACAGGGACTCTGACCTTGAAGTAAAGGTGTGGAGAATGCCACGGCAGGGAAGGGGACCTTCTGAGTCCTCCTGATTTTCAGTCAGGTATATTTGCATAGTTATCTCAAAGCCTGGATGAGTCCCCAGGAAATGTAACAGGATGATGGTTCTTGTCTAGAGGATCACGGAGCTCTTTCCTAGGGCTGGACAAAGAATTCAACATCTGGCAAAGACAGAAGAGCCAGCTGCCAAGAAAGCAAAGGGAACAGCTTTATCCCTTGAGGTTGAGAGGGACCCTCAGTCTGGGGAGTCTGCTGACAGGACATTTGGTCTTCTCTTCTCCCATCTGTGCTACATACCTATACCTCCTATCATTTGTCCTGCCAGTGTCTTCTGGAAACAAGAAGCCACTATCTCAGAAAGCCTCTTTTGTCTTTGTGACTGGCTATGCTCCTCTAACTCTTCCTCAACATGAACTACATAAAGAACCTAGACATTTGCAGGTCTGGTAGAGTGTGCTGTGCTACTCTGGCATCTGGAAAAACACTGCAACTGTTGAAAAAGGCATGAGACAGGGAAAATGATGCAGTCAGCACCCATGTAAAGATGGGGTGGGTACTTAAATGTGAACTAAGTTTAACATGCTTACACACTATTCCAGCATTCTTGAGTCATACATAAAAGTGACAGCAGCTACTCAAGGAACCAGAATGTGTGATGAGTGTGGTCTGGTCCAACGAACACTAAAATTCACTGTGATACCCTTCCCAAATGAGTCACTCAAATAAGGCAAGGTTGGAATGGGCCCGGGACAATTAGATTTAATGCCAGGCAGGCAATCATGATGAGAAAGCCAAGAAGGAAATTATAGGTTCTGCAACCAGAAGACATCAGTCCAAAAGCTGGCTGAGCTCTGGCTAAGTTTTACTCTCTGCTCTGACTGCACCGAGATGAGGCGATGCTCCCCCAACTCATTGTAACAGAACACCGACAACCAAGTGCTCGGAGCATTCCCATGAAATGTCATCTCCCCTTCTGCAACAGTCACGGAGTACACAGATCTGTCATCATTGTTCTCTGAGTCACAACCTTGGCAATGTAGACACAGAAAAAAAAAAAAAAAAAGGACAGACGAGTGGGATCCAGCTCTGCTGTAGACAGAAGACACGAGGCTAGACCTGCAGGATGCTACAGTCTGTGCTCTAGGAAGTTACTCTTCCATGTGTCTTTGAGACATCAGCTCATGATATAGCCCAGGCTGGCCTCTACTTACCAGGTAAGAGATTAAGGTTCACAGTACCTTTTTATAAAATTTTAGTCCTGGGCTGGAGAGATGGCTCAGCGGTTAAGAGCACTGACTCCTCTTCCAGGGGTCCTGAGTTCAAATCCCAGCAACCACATGGTGGCTCACAACCATCCGTAATGAGATTGAATGCCCTATTCTGGTGTGTCCGAAGACAGCGACAGTGTACTCATAAATAAAATAAATAAATAAATCTTAAAAAAAAAAAAAAAAGACACCTGTTCTGCCTCTTAAAAAAAAAATTTTTTTTTAGTCCCAACCAACTTTTCCTCTCTCATCTCTAGTGGTCTTCTGACATGGTAAGTACAATGTTTTGTTTTTACAAACACATGTGGGTGAAGCTTACACAGGATAAGGTTTCTTAAATGACCGAAGACATACTGCCTTAACCTTTCTCACTTGATTTAATTGACAAATAAATACAAGGGAGTTTGTGTGAAAACACTGGCAATATAGGAAACTTTAAAGAATTTATTCCAACTTCATTATACTTCTGAGAATGGGAAATATACATCATTCACTTAGTAAATATGTTCGTGCGTTTAAATTTACATTTTCTCCATTTGCAGAAATATGTAAACCACTCTGATTAAATGAAGAAAATGTACAAAAATTTTTCTTTTGCTCCCAGGGTTCAAGATAAAGCCAAACAACATTTTTACATATCGAAGCATTTAACTCCAAATCCAGAATTACAATCCCGTGAGACACTGCAAAAGCACAGTGGCTCCTAAGGTAGCTGGAGTAGCAATCAAGGGCTTCCCTTGTGAGCACCCAGATTTCCCCTCTGCCATTATTATTTTACCTATTCAAACACAGATGCTGTTCCCACTCGAAGGACTTCAGGTACCAAACACCGGTGACACATGCTATATTGACTCCCGACAACAAGAATCAGAAAATGACGCACAATGAAATAAACAACCCTAAAAGACGTAGTGCACAGTGGAGCCTGGGAACCAATGATAGTGTTCTGAGTTACGTGAGACTTTTTCACAACATAGCACCTCAATATGTATCTAGTAAACACTCCGCAATCACAAGGGCTGGGAACCCAAGTTCCAAGATTATGAGATTAACTTTAAGGTACCACTGCAAGACCTGCAGCAACTGCATGAGGAACATGGCCTGCTCACTGCCTCCCTCACATGCTCTAAGGGGACTACTGTGTGCTGGGACGAAACACCAGCAGGAAGGGCGACAAGGCAATAACTCCTGCTTACAAACTGCTGTTACATGTGCCTGCAGGACTAGAGCGTCCCTGCGTCACCCCAGGGGAGTATGCTCTGCTCCTCTTCAGGAGACTCGGCCCAGAGAACACTAAACAGGTCAAACTGTGCCCTGTAGTGTTTGATGTAAAAGCCAATGTACTGAAACCCAGGAAATGTTTTTCATGTAGATTCAGAAGAACTCTCATGCACTTGGATGAGTTCACAAGCTGTACTCTTGGCCAGAGGAATCACTCTTTTTGTGCCGAGGTGATGGGGTGGTCTTTGTTGGAGATGGGGATGCTGTACCAGGGGAGTCGGTCCCTCCGTCAGAGGTGCTTGGTGAGGAGGCCAGATAGGGAACTTTCTTTCTTCCTAGGAATCCCCCTGCTTCAAATCCTTTCTTCCGGAATTCCACTTTATGCTCATTTTCATCCTCTGCTGACCTTTTCTTGGGCTCTGACAAACCTTCTGCTGTTCTATGCACTTCCAACCCCACATCTGACTCTCTCACATATCTTACTTCTGCCCCTGGGGACTTCCTCTCAGATATAGCACACTCCCCTGCTGCCCCCTTCACTTCAGCCTGGGCTGGGCCCATGTGGCCATTTTCAGGGACAGCTCTCTCTACGTTTCTGTTGAAATTAAGAGTCTGGAAGTCCCTGTAGCTGTGGAAACTCTCAGTCCTCCTTGCTCTGGCTAACAAAGGGCTCTCTCGGTAAGGCCGCGTGGCACCATAGGTTGCTGCTTCAGGGATGGTTTCGTGGTGCTGGAGCTGAAGGCTGAAAGATTTTAAAACATGACAGTTACAGTTTCACTCCAAGGTCTCAGGAGCATATCTCAGCAGTTAAACTGACGACTTAAATGTCACTAAACCATATAAAGCACGTTACTATCTACACTTTCTGTAAGTGATCATATCACATACAATTACCAACTAAAGTAATGATATATGTACTTTCATAATAAAGTAAAAATGTTGAATAGTAGGGGAAAAGGAAAATAAGTCTTTAAAACCAATAAGGAATCAATGTACTCCAATATTTGGTCCTTGGATTCTCAGAATTTGACATTTTTGTCAATATGGTTGGAAAAGCCAGAGTGTTTCACTGTATATTAAATAAAATAATTTAACTACTTTTGGTTAGCACTACACCCGAACAATGAGAACAAAACTTCCACAAAGTATCCAATTGATACCCGATCTTCCTAACACAGGGGCACCTAAGGGCACCGCAGCTGCCACTCCTTTCCTGCAGTTCCTAGAATGACAGTGTCCCCAGAGTCTCTTAGTCCCAGTTGGTGAAGCTGAGTGTGAAGGTTTAGGAGGTGTGGCTTGCTAGAGGAAGTATACCCCTGGGAGCAGGCCTTGGGAATTTAAGGCCTTGAACCATTTCTAATTCATGCTCTGCTTTGAGCTTGTGGTTTTGGATGTGAGCCCTCAGCTTCCTGCTCCAGCTGCCATGTCTGCCTGCTGCTGCTGCCCCACTGTGAATGACTCTTAGCCCTCTGGAAGCTTATGCTCAAATCAACTTCTGTAAGTTATCATGATAACTGTGTTTTAGCACAATAGAAAAATAACTAATAAATTTCCAAAAGTAGGTTAAAAGGCAGGGGGTGGAACAAAGGTCAGACTCAGTGGTAAAAAGCATGTTTGACATGCATGAAGTCTCAGTGTCAACCACAGTACATGTCAGACACACAAATGACCACAGCATGTTTTTCCTTGCACATTACATGTGTATGAAACTGTCAAAGAATGAATTCATTAACAGTTTAAAATCTTTTCCTATGAAAAGATGTGCTATGCATATAGATAAAAATTTATATTTGAGCAATTCAATATCAACATATATGATTCAAACTGTATTTTGAGAACAATAGCTCTTACACTGCATGCTTACAGCGTGTGAGACACATTTCCCCAGTGACATCAGTCCCCTCAGGACCTACCTGGAGCTGGACTCGCGAAGGCGGCTGTGCTGCAGCACAGATGTGGCAGGGCTGATGTTGGGAGTGGCACAGCGGGATGTGCTCAGGTCACACTGGTCCAGCAGCTTGAGCAGCTCCTCCTCAGTGGGGCCACCTGCATCTTAGAGAGAAACATTCACTCAGACGGCAGGTCAAAGGTCAGCCGTGCCGACCCTCTGCTCCGCTGTGCCGTCACCTACCCTTGTCCTCAGTCTTGTTGACCATATCCATGGCTGTGGTCAGGTCCCACATCTGGATGCTGCCGTTGGTGTGGCCAGTGAACAGGTAGCGCCGCGGCCGGGAGCCCATCCTACTGGAGCCCTCACACTCTCTCACAGTGAACGAGGAGATTGTAGTGCAGTCTACAGCCTGGATCTCACATATTCTGAAAGAAGGGGTGGTGCAGATCAAAGGCGGCAATTACACACACCATACAATTGAGCACTGCATTAATTTCCACCTTTGAAGTCACACAAACAATATGTATCTAAAATAGTCTTAAAATGGTCAAAGGAAGTTGACAGAAAAAGTCTCGTCTCTCTGAATGAGAAAACCTTCTCACCCATTAGTTTGTTCTTAACTGAAATACAGATATGATTTAGTCACAAAAGTCATCTTAGGAATAAGCAAACCTTCAAAATGAAGATGTGAGAAACCAGAAAGGGAAAAGAAGAAGGGAGGGAAGGAAGATGAAAATACAACACACCAGTGTTAAGTCTCTGCAGTTCCTGTATACTGTTTTACAGTGTAACCCACGAAGGCTGCGATGATCCCTGGGAAGTAAAGCAGCTCAGCAGGGTGAGAGGTGTGAGTAGAGTGAGGACAAGCAAGAGCGAGGGAGGGGAGAGGGGCAAGAGAGGAGAGGGGAGAGGAGTGAGGGGAGGGGAACAGACAGAAAGCAGCCCAGTGGCCCAGGCCAATGAAGCAGTCCTGTTAGCCACACAGACCACACATGTGGAGTCATCTTATCTGGAGTAAATCTACTATTTCACCACGTGTGAGTTCTCAGTCATTTCTCCTTTATTTCAGTTAGTACAGCTTTTTTTTGTTGTTTGTTTTTTTGAGACAGTGTTTCTCTGTGTGGCTCTGGCTGTTCTGGAACTCACTCTGTAGACCAGGCTGGCCTCGAACTCAGAAATCCACCTGCCTCTGCCTCCCAAGTGCTGGGATTAAAGGCGTGCGCCACCACTGCCCGGCGGTATAGCTTTAAGAAAAGATGTATTTTATATGTATGTGTGAATGCCTGTATGTTTGCCTAGTGCCCCAAGAAGCCAGAACAGAGCACTGCCTTAGAGTTAAGGAGGTCGTGAGCTGCTGGAAACTGAACCCTGGCTTTCTGCAAAAGCAGCAACCATCTCTCCGGCACTCAGTCTGAGTCAACCATTATTTTTGTCAGGACAATAATCTTTTTCATTATTAGTCATATAAGAATTAACATTTATATTTATAAAGTGACTTAATTTTTTTAAGAAACATCTATATTTCTGGTTTATTTTTAAAATAAATAAACCCAATTCTACAAAACAACTTCCACTTGCTCTTTTTGTTAATGCAGTTTCCCTCTAGATTTCTGAATAATACAAAGGGGATGTTAACGAGGAACACTTAGGAGACATGATGTGTTAGAGACAGAGTCCAGCTTAATAAACACCAGCAGCTTCGGCACTCAGTACACACTAATCACTGTACAAACTCCAAATTCCTTTTCTTGAAAAAATATACAAACAAAATCTGTGGACACATTCGCCATTTTCTAGAATTCATTCATGAATTACTAATGACCATATGCTATCTCTGATGGAAATAAAACCTCTCATGGCTCAGAGTTTATTCATTAAAACACCATGTAACTAGAGACATGCCAAGTTAAGTTAAATGGGTAACTTTAGGGACATGTGTCTGCCTAATGACCACTGCTAGGAATTGTACTTGCTCACCTGCCTAGCATGCAGAAAAAGCAAAAACAAAAAACCCCAGCAAAACTAGACACAATCATTTTCAAAGTTAAACAAAATGGCAGAAGGCTCATTTTTACAAACGTCCACTGTGGTCAGGGTTGATAGGGCCTCTGTTATCTTCACTTTACTATATGACGTATGTTCCAGACAGTGGAACCCTATTCTGTCAGGCAACTGATGAGGTCACTCAAGATTAATTTACATACTCACTAAAGAACACTATCAGAATTTAGTGCAACTGTCTACCATGAAATCTACTGTGATCGCCATTAAAATTAGGGGGAAAAAAACAAACAAACAACAACAAAAAAAACCCTGAAGACAAAAGCAGACAAGAAGGTCCTAACAGCACTCAGAACCAGTGTGGACCCCTGCTCTGCAGACGCAGGGCACAGAGAGTTGGGCCATGCCCTAGGAGAATGAGGACAAACGTGAACTGAGACAGCTGCACACTGGGAGCTATGGCCAAGTTAGGGAGCTTATGTTAGCATCAGCCAAGGATGACTGGCTTCCTTCCTTCTGTTGTACATAGAGGTGGTCAGGCAATCTGTAATGTCCCATCTGAGAGACACACTTCATGGATATACACTTGCATGTGCACTCAAATCCCAAGGCTCCTTGAGTTTGTTTTTCTATGGTACTCTCAGTCTGTTCTGTCCCGAGTCATTATGACTCTATCTGGCAGTGCACTGCTGAGTCCCCCTTTCTATAGGTAACCAGAATGAGGACATCTGTGCTGATGTGTCCAGTGCCTTCCACCTCTAACAGAAGGCACAGGGATGTCTGTGTTGATGTGTCCAGTACCTTCCACCTCTAACAGAAGGCACAGGGATGTCTGTGTTGATGTGTCCAGTGCCTTCCACCTCTAACAGAAGGCACAGGGATGTCTGTGTTGATGTGTCCAGTACCTTCCACCTCTAACAGAAGGCACAGGGATGTCTGGGTTGATGTGTCCAGTACCTTCCACCTCTAACAGAAGGCACAGGGACATCTGTCTGCATGTGTCCAGTGCCTTCCACCTCTAACAGAAGGCACCTGCATTCTGGGAGACAAAGACAATTTCTCAATACACATGTCCTTCTGTGAAGTGTCACCTTTTTCCGGTCGATGACGACCTGACAAACAGCTTGTTGGTGATGGGAACAACTTTCTGGATAAACACTTGTTGATCATCTCGTTCTCCAAAAGGCCCTGTGAGGAAAAGGACAAGAATGAGGAATGGTTTCATTTTATAAAAGCACATTAATATTAACACTCCTCTCCCCAAACAGTTCTCATGCATGATGTGGCACAAGCCCTACGTCAATGTCATACACAAGCTCAAGGCAAAGGTAGGTCAATCTGCATTCAATTTCACAATAGAAACACACAGTATTTCTTTTTTAAATATTTCTTTCTTTGTGTATGTGTGTTTATGTTCAGGTGTGTGTGTGTGGGTGTGAGTGTGTGTGTCTGTGGGTGAGTGTCTGTGTGTGTCACTCTGTCCACAATTGGTTGTAAGGTTTATATATTATAAAGTAAGACAGCAAGAGGGCAGCCCTGACAAGATTCTCCCTTGGGGATGCTGAAATGACCTGCTGTTCCAGCTCCCTGCCTGACCCTGCCTCAATTGATGCTGGTTCCAGAGGCTTGTTTCAAAAACAGCTTTAGAAATGGTTGCTAATCCCCAATGACCTGGGTTCATCCAGCCTTTCAGATGGTTCCAGTCAGGGCTTCAGTTACATTTTGAACTTTCTCAACACATAAAGACTGGATAACAAATCATGTCAACCAGCTTTGACTTAACCATTGTTCCGGTTTTGTTTTGGGACCCAAACAGGAGCTCTTCACCCCAATTTAGCAGGAAGCAATTATAAGAAGACTGTTGCCCTGATTTCTTAAGTTGGGGTGAATGGTTTTGGCTATTTTATAAACTATAGATACTTTGTCATTTTAAAGGATAATTTACAAATAAAAGTTTTAGACAGGAGGAAAACTAGAGAGCTTAGACTCGGGGATTTCAATTTTTCCTTTCCTCTTCTCTATCTTTTCTTCTTTCTTAGGTAAAGGGAAGGGGATTGAAAAGAAAAAGGAGGATATAGTAATATTACTAAAAATTAGATAAATAAGGATGGATTAATAAATCTACTATTAAAAGCATATTGTAGCCATAATATTACATTGGTAGAGATCTTTATATTTTGATGCAGACTTGAGGTTATATTTTGTTACACTGATACAAAATTTTGTATACTAATACAGATTTAATGTTTTTGTTAGTATAAATCTTTGTATATCGATCTAGAATTTAAGATTAATTTTGTTACTCTTAGATAGCCATTGTGCCTATGCAACTCACTTAAAATCCAAGGTTTAATCCCAATACTTTCAATAGCTGGCATTAAAGTGTTTAGGATAATTAAGTAATGCAAGCTGACAAACTCAGTCATGTTAGATACTAGTTTGGATTATCACAAAAATATACTCTCTGAGTTATACAAATAATAGGTGGCTGGAGATAGGCAATGTTTGCCTGTTCAGATATTCTATGGATAGATGGTCTTCAAATCATATGAGATCCACAGAATATGGTATGTAGAATCATTTCATTATTAAAAGGTTTTTGACTATGAAACAGTCCTGCCCCTAACAGTAACCCCCATTCCACTTCAAGGAAGACGATGAGCATCAATACCTTCAATTGTGGCAAGCTAGCCACTGGGCAAGAAATGCTCCAATCTTATCTGCAGACAAATGCTGTCCAAAAGGACAAACAGATACAGGATGATCATCTCTTAAGCTCTGCCAAGGCAGAGCAAGCTCGTCCTTCTTCGTTTTTGCTTCAGTTAAGGTCTGTCAGCTGTTCTGGGCCCGAAGGCTGAAGACAGACGCTCCAACATTATAGGGAATGCTGGGGACTGTCCGGGTGGTACGAAGTCTCTGACATTTCTATGATTTTTTTTTGGAAGCTACATCCACATGCTTCCAGCATATTCAAATAATATTTTTTTCCTCAGATGTCTGATGGGGTTAAACACTAGATAATTATAATCTCACAATGAAATTTAAGTTGTTTAGGATTTAAGATGCTTTCTGAGTCTAAAAAGATGGTTTTGGGATAGTAATACAAGTTAAAATAGAGGAGGATTTAGGTATAAATCATCTATATAATGGACTGGATGTTACAAATGTATATCATGTCTTATAATTTCCATAATTATTATAATTGTATTTAATTTATATCTTAAAGAAAAGGAGCTTTTATGGGAATAAAAAGTGGAATTGTTGAGGCTTTGTAAGTGTGGGCCCCAAGAACTGGTCATCCAGAGAAGAGAGAGTTTGAGCAGAAACCCAAGTGAGCTATGTGACCTCATCCCCAAGTTATATCTTACTGGTGAACAGAGATGCTGACAGCCATAGCTAGGCAGAAGGTCCCAGGCTTGGGTCTGATGAGAACCACGAGGGAGAGAAGGTGAAGGAGGAAGAAGTAGCCACGGGGCAGGTGAGTCATGAAAGCATGGCCCTGAGGGCTAGCCAATTGGAATTAAGAGGAGCCCAGATGGAACATAGTAAGTAGTACCTCGGGATTATAACAGAAAAGCAGACTCTAATAGCAGAGAGGGTAGACATCTGGCCAGCTCTTCTGCTGATTAAAGCTTATTGAAAATATAAAGGTTGTGTACGTCTTTTATGCGGGAACTAAATGATCAAAGACGGGGCAGAAACCTCAGATTGGGATTAAAACTTTCTACAACAGAGGCAGGAGAGGGCACTGGATCCCAAAGAGCTGCCAACGTGCACTCCAGGAATGGCTCAAGCCTTCTTTCTCTCCACTCCCACAAACACTTCAGAACTGTATTTTATGCATTAAAGACATATAAGCTGAGGGTAAAAGGTCCTTAAGGACCTGCATTGTCCTCACTGGAAGTACCCTTTGAGGATATGCTTAGACTCTGGTGACTTAGAAGAAGGCTTGGGAGTATAGATCCCATCCCTAGCAACAAAAGGGGTGAGAGCCGATATGAAGTCACTTTGTATGTTCCTATCACTGCTTTGAAAGCCTACATGCAAAACTGTAACATCTTCTGAAGATCAACTGTAGCAACTATAGCAGAGTACAGTGAGGCTGCTAAGGGGCCTCAGCAGCTCAAGCCACTTGTCCCCAAGCCTGGTGATCTGACTTTGATCCCCAGTGTCCTCACAGCAGAAGAGAACTGATTCCCAGTAAGTTATCCTCTGACCTCCAACATGTGTGCTCAGGCAAGAGTGTATTCACACACAGCATTTGCATGTGTACACACACACGTACATTTGTTCAAATGATTTTCGAACTTATACATAAAATTCCTACGTCAATCTTGGCCGTAGATTTTCATTTTTGAAGATGCCTACCAATGTCATTTCCAGAGGAATAGCTGCCATGGCTCTCGGTCTCCTCCAAGGACAGGATCTTGAATGACGCTAAAGGAGTGGAGCCTGGCTGCGTGGAGATCATCCCTCTGAACCGTGTGACTGTCCAGGTGCGGACATGGTTGTTGTCGGCACACACTAGGAAAGAAAGAGCACAGTTAGGTCACCTCTCCACTCTGAAACACGTTTCTTCTTTTATATCAAGCAGATCACAGTACACTTGAAAAGGCAAGTCGCAGATTTATCTAAAAACTGTACTCGATTTGGATATAGTAAGCCAAAGTGAGAGAAGTGGGTCTGGGAAGGTGACTGGGTGAAGACACTTGCTGCCAAGCCTCAAGACCTGAGTTCCACCTCTGGACTCACATGGTAAAGGGTGGGAACTGATTCCTACAAAGTAGAGGGACGTCCATGGTCAGAGGATGCTTGTTTCTCTTTATAGGACTCCAGTGTGGTCCCAGCACCCGTCTCAGAGGACTCACAACTGCCTGTAATTCCAACTCCAGGGAATCTGATGACCCCTTCTGGTCTCTGAGGGTAGCCAAACATGACGTGACATGGACATTCACATTTAAAACACTTAGCCAAATGTCATGGCACACACCTTTAATCCCAGAACTTGGGAGGCAAAGCCAATCAGACTTCTTGAGTTCCAGGCCAGATTGGTCTGGATGGCAAGTTCCAGGATAGCCAAGACTATATAAAAAGACCCTGTCTCATAAGCCACCACAAGGTGGTAATAATAATATGTTTAATTAAAAGATTTTTAGAAACCTAACCAGAATGTTTGTTTACTGCATACCTTTTTTTCCCCTTTTTTTAAAGAAACAATGCCCAGCTCTAATAAAGACTCTAACGTGACTATAAATGAGTAAGAAATAATTAGCCTGTAAGATGTGTGCAAAGTGCTGGTCACCAGTTAACAGTTACTCCTGGTTTAGGCAGGCTATTTAGGGTCTAAGTTATATAAAACAGCCTTCTCTCAAGCTTAAAAAAACTTTTCTACAATTATGTCTCACAGGATTTTGCCTTGGTTTTATTGTTGCTAATTTCTAAGTAAGAATACTATTAAATGACCATACAGTACATTACTTCCTAAACTCTCTCCACATTTTTGTTCTAAATGGGCATGCTTATTAAAAAGGTATACCCTAAAATATTAAGTCATTCAGGTAAGAAGTATACTTTTTTTGCTTGCTTTAATAGAGGTAGGGGGATGGGGGGAATTAATTTGCCATTTGTGATGATTTTAAAAATGTCTGTGAATGCTAGGAATGTGAAACTTCTATATAAACACAATTCCTATGTCATACAATATCAGTTTTATATTTTAAAACAAACTTTAGAAAGAAACTTGGCGAATACCAAGAAATAATTTCTGTGTACTTTTTAGTATATAATGAAATCAATCCTCAGTTCTCAGGCCAGTAGTGAAGTACAGATGATGCAGGTAAGGCATTTAACCAGTATTGTGGGAAATGGTCCCCTGGTTTCACTAAGCTTAGCAGGACTGAGAAGACAAAGAACTGAAGTGATCCTGGACAACTAGTGTTGATGATGGAATCTTGTTCATACTCCTCCTGCAAAGCCCCATTTCAGATCCTAGGATGCATATCACAGAAAAAGCACATGGCTGCATTTATGCCAATAGCCACCAGGGGGCAGAAGGGCTGAGAACATAGAACACTGCTGACATGTGCTTTAAACTGGGCCTTTAAATCCAGATCTACAACATAGAACATTTTCCAGCATCGTTCGGAGAAGACAAAACTACTGCTGTGGAACTCAGCTTCTAGGAGGAGGTAGATGATAGACAAATAAATAACAACCATATGGTAAGCCTGTGAGGAACTCACAGGAGATTCTAGCAGACACGGTTACTTTTACACAGACTGGGAGACCTTACTGAGTAGAGTGTGAGGACAGAAGAGTAGAGCAACCAAAGAAGTATGTGAAAACAAAACACGGCAAACAAAACAAGCCAGAGCAAAGAAGTCTGAGACATTTTTACAAACTAGAAAAGCTAATAGCTTAGAGTCCCATGATCCAAAGAAAGAAGGCTGGCACTCGACAAAATTAGCATGTACTATCATATCTACTTCATTCATTATCTAAATTCTTAAAAGCTTTGTGACTATAGGGAACTATAAACCCACAAAATGTTACCTTCCTCACATAATTTGATATTGTTATGAATTTTAAACATAAGGTAGTCAACTAGCAAAATATACATCTAAGTCTACAACTTTAGCTTAAAACTGAAAGTAACAAAATAAATTTATATTAAAGTTCAAACAGAAAATTTTGAAACAGAAAAATCTTCTCGGCAGTGATCTGATAAGCATCTTGAAATGAAATATACCACAAGAAGAAACTATTAGCGAATTAACAGAAAATACAATATTTCCTAAGTTTAGGTAAAGTACATCCAAGCCAAGTCAAAGCCACACTCCTTCAGGTTTTCAGGATGCAGCATAAACCACTCCACTTCCTCTCAGCCCGAGGCGTCACAGACGACGGGGAGTCATCTTGTACCTGACACCAGATGCTTCTCTGACAGCATGATCTTGGTCACAGGGCTCCGGTGAACGGTGAATGTCTGGAAGAGCTGAGGCCCTGAGCCCACCGTCTCTGGGTGCTGCACAATCACCCGCACAGCTCCAGAGCTCGTACCGTAGGCTATCTCAATCCAGTTTCCGCTGACACCTAGGAGCCACAGGTCAAAGGAATGAGTTATGTAACGATTGAAACAACGCCTGTGAGCCTCAGTGACGACAGAGGCCCAGTAGAAATCAGAGCCTGTGACCAAAAGACTCAGCAAACAGCTCAAAGCTGCTCGGCCAGCAGAAAGTCTGTACTTCCTTTACACATCTTTCTTGACCTTTCACTTTACAATGAATGCTCCTAGCCTTCCTGAACTGTCTTAGGTTTTGCTGTGGTAATTATACACTAATTCTATGAATTTTCATGCCTACCTACCTTTGTTCCTTATTGATAGAAACTGAATCACCTTTCAGAGTGCCTGAGACATGTTACCAATTCAGTATCAATTTGTGCCAGACCCTCCAAGAGAACATCATCCCATAGCAGCATTCCGCTGAAGTTTGCTGGGAGTGACCTTAGCTTTTACTTCTGCTGCGGTACTGAGCCATACTTCCAAGTGTCACCTACACTAAGAGTGTCAAACCCCACACAGTGGGACAGGCACACTTCTTACAATGCTCACACCACACTGATGACTGTTCTGCTCCTTCCAATCTGCCCTAACTCAGCTGAGGCTTCGCAGTTTTCTTTTCTTTTCCTTCCTATTTTCAAAGGCTTATTTTTGTTTGATGCGTATGGCTGCGTTCCTTGCATGCATGTCTGTGCACCAGCTATAAGTCTCGTATCCTTGAAGCCAGAAGATAGCATTGGAGTTCCTGGATCTGCATGTGGTTGGTTCTAGGGACAGAACCTGAGTCCTCTGGAAGAGCAGCAAGTGCTAAAGCTAAGCCATCATTCCAGCCCAGCCCTGGTAGCTTTTCTTAGAATGGTACCATATCCCATCACAAATCAAAAGACAGGCAGACACTGCATTCTAGCAAGCTTCACGGGTACACAACTGTGGTCTTTACTTCCTGATCACCCGAGGAAACCACCAGTCAAAGGGACAAGCAAGGACTGGGATACTCCAGCCAATCAGAAAGACCCCATCTTGATGCTTCCTAAGTCTTGTCAACATGAGGAAGGGTTTTTTTTCCTTTGGGTAGTTTGATTTCTAAAACTTGCCCAGTTTCACCTCTAATTATAAATGAGACTGGGGGGAAATGCATACTTCATTACACTCACTCTAGAGCAGAGCTCGGCAAGCTTTCTCTAAAGAAACAAGTAGTAATTATTTTAAATTCTGCTTTCCACACTGTGTATAACCTCTTAGCTCTATCACTGAAAGCAGCCAAGGACAATGCACAGAACAAATAAAAAAGAGAGCGAGACAGCGAGACAGACAGCGAGACAGACAGACAGACAGACAGAAAGACAGAGAGAAGGAAGGTGGGCGGGTGGGCAGGCAGGCAGGCAGACAGACAGGGCTAGCATGAGTGTCCCAAGTCTTCAGTCATTTCAGTGCGTACTACAATTCTTTTGTGCTGATGATTCTCTTGCCTAATAAGTCCGGTCAAGTGATGCCATGAACAAGCAGGACATTCAAGCACACGGTCTGTCCCCAGGCACATGTGAACATATTAGTGTTTCTCAGCGTTCTCTCCTCATTATAGGGCATCTTTGAGATCAGTAAACTCATAAATGCATGCAGTCTCAAGAGTCCCCAAGGCTGGCCATGTACTGACTTGTTTTGGGGGTGAGGTAAACACTCAGTGCAGTGATGGCGTCGTTGGAAGGGTCATGATAGAGCTCAGTGACAAGGAGGTCGTTATCCTTCATCCGCAGTGGGAACTTCTGCATGTCTGAAGACAAGAGTACATCTAGTCAGAACTACAGAGGTCTCCATGCCCTTGTGTATAAAGAATGCTCGATGCTCACCTATGTAATATATTGATCCGTTGTTGCATCCCAGGAGGAGGAAGGAGCCTGCAGTGTCGTAGCTGGTTATCGGGACAACGTCCTGCACCTGACACAGTGAAATTGTTATGTGTTAGAAAATTCTACTTTCCGCTCCAACATCCTCAGGGCTTTGATTCTTTGAGCTATCCCAATACCCAACTTAAGGAAGCTTACACAACAAGCTGTATTTACGCCCATGTAGCCTTGAAGACACATGTTCTAGTTGCAGCCCGTGCTCTCTGAAGTCAGATATGTCACTTCTTGTTGCTGCCATGTGGTAACTATGCCACAGCCTCTGGAACTGAAAAGCCAAGGCAACCCCTCCTCCCATATGCCACTCATATAAAATAAAGTGCCAAAACCACACGGTGAATAATTAGAGCTAGTGACCAGCACAAGTGATTTCAGACACAGTGCAGCTAGCTGCCTGACAACCTACTACAACTTTTTCAAGTGGACAGTGTCCTGTCTTACTATTCTTAGTAAAGATTCTTCTCGGAAACAAGAGAAGCAAAGATTCTCCCATGTCTTGTTTTCCAGGTACTGGAATTAAATAGCATCTTTTCAAAGCAATCAGTCTGGTTTACAAACAGGTAACCATGTAAATCCAAAGGACTTTAGTCACAACAAGGAAGGAAGGAAGGAAGAAAGGAAGGAAGGAAGGAGGGAGGGAGGGAGGGAGGGAGGGAGGAAGGAAGGAAGGAAGGAAGGAAGGAAGGAAGGAAGGGAAGGACACACAGAGGGAGGGAGGGAAGGAGGGAAGCAAGGAAGAAAGGGAGGAAGAGAGAGAGAGAGAGAGAAAGGGAGGGAGGGAGGGAGGGAGGGAGGGAGGGGGGAGGGGGGAGAGGGAAGAGAGAACGAATGAACACAAAGTGGCAGCAGCAGGAAAGGGAGTGGACAACTTTACCATCATGCCAGCGAGGCTTTTAAATCCCTAATGATTCAGTGTTCTGAAGCCACTCGTACAAAGGCCAAGACAGACACCTCAGCAATTAGCACTGTTCCAAGGAGCGAGCACTTGTCAGGCTTCTTTCCCAGCAAGGTAAGATGTACATGTAACCTGCTTCATGTGTGTGTTTGCTTTATGTGCTGCAACCTACCTAACAAAGCATTTGCTGAACTGCCTGTCTGCCTCCCACAGAGAAGTAAAACTAAAAGACAATTCTGGTGTGTCGGGCTCAGAAGCAGGGTGTGGAGTGTGATCCCAGGGGACAGATGGGGTTGTCATTTCAGCAGAGGTTGGGGAGAAACCAGAGAGCAAGAGGGCTCTGGGATTCAACACTAGGAAGAGAAGAAGGGCAAGACAGAGCCTGGGTCCACTCTAGCTCCACCACAGGCACCTGGGATTAAAGAGCTCTCTAAGCTGCTCACACGCAGGGTGCTCTGCTGTGTGCACACCACAGCTGCACAGTCACTAGCTGCACTAGAGCATCTCTTCAGGAACCCTGGTTCAGGGCTCTCAGAGAACAGGCAGCATCTCATGTGGCACGCTACCGCCCATGCTTCCCAGCTGGAAGTAAAACTGTCAGAGTGAAGGCACCTTGCCTGCCTTTCACCCTGCTCTGGCCCCAGCTGGCCGGATCTCGCCAGCTCCAGCACTAGAAGACAACTTCTACTCCTACATGAGAGTCTCCACAGCAGGAAGCAGAATGGACTCTGAGTCCTCTGGAGCCACGCTTTCCTGTAAGACTGGAGCTTCTGAGGCTCATCTCAAGAAAATGCTGTCATCTGCTCTGCAGGAAGATGGATTTTGTGGTAAGCCAAATCAAGCAATCTTCCCCTCTCAGTCCAGCCTACTCTAAGGCCACAGTGCTTACTCTGGGTCCTTGGGCAGGGTCAGTAGCTCCTCCTAAAACTCAGCCCCACTGTTAGAGGCACAGGACAGGTTGTCACTGAACCACTTAACTTCAAGGTCTCGGCACCCTCACAGTGATGCAAGAAACATTCTCTGATCCTTTGAGAGGCAAAGTATGTGTTGCACTGTGGCTTTCAGGACTAATGACCACAGTGTTCTCCATATTCTGATAGGAGAATAAAACTTGTAATCAATCCTTGTTTAAATCTAATTCCTGGATTTGGGAAATGATGATGCTTGCACGGTGCTTTCTGCCATGTTACTTAGGCTGAGTTACCTATCTGACAACACTGAAGGATGCTTTCTGACTAACACTGTGACATGGTGTATGTGTGTGCTATGCTGTATGAGAAGGGAGTGATTTACAAAAACGAGAAAGCCCTATTTTTTTAATCTCCATTAGATTGGCTTTTATAACATTTCATCAACATTTTAACTAAGGCAGTTGAGAAGCTAATAGAAAAATCTAAATTTTTCAGTGTTCTTAAGGTTAAATGCAGATGGAATGCTTACTGATTCATCTGATTCAAACGCATCCTGACTATACATCTAAAGTAAAGAACTTGGGGGCTGCCCTGTGCACTTCCTCTGCTATTTGTGGCTAGAATGTTGCTACAGGCCAAGTCAGAAGCTAGTCAACCAGTGTTGCAGCAGCCTGGAAGCCAGCCTCCAGTCAGAGCTGTCTGTTGAGATCTACAGACAAGGCTGAGGCTTCACAGTAGACCATGTCTGCAATGCACTAGGGAGAAATCCAGCTGGGTTACGAGGCCAGTTTGCTACATGGATGCACAACTTTCTCAGGTCTTTCCGAAACGTGCAACAAATCCACATGTCAGATGTGGTCTTCAGCCATGTATATCCAGACATCAAGAGTCAGGCAATACACAGACAAAACACCCAAGGCTAAGACCCACAATGAAGTCACTGGAATGAGTCTCTGGATGTCAAAGCTATTCAAACCTTTATGGTTAGTTCTAACAAGAGTTGAAGGCTAACAGGAGAATAAAGGAGCTGCTCCTCTCCTTCCAGGATCATACTACAGCACATCCCTGCGTGGGCAGCATGGCTCCACTGTAACACAACTGGCACAGAGCAGAACTCCTGTAACTCAGTCCTCCCTGCAGAGGCACCAGCAGCAGAACAACCCTGACAGTGCTCCCTCTCGTCTGTGTCAGAGCCTCTCCACTGACCACCACTGCAATGCCTTTGCCCCGTTTATCACAGTGCCTTTTATGCAGAACAAAGTTCTTCATCTTCACTGAAATCCACACACTCTCTCCACTACAAACCCTTACCTGAGGTGTTTAGCTGACTACTTACTGTCTCTACACAGCCTATCTATGTACATCTGTCCATCCTCCATTTTTAATGGGACTCTTAAAAATCTCAGAGAGATGGGAAAAAAAAAAAAAAACGCCAAGACTTAGTTTAAAACTATCATTGTATAAGTAAAAAAAACTTCCTTTAAAACAGTAAAATGTCTATGTACTCACGGTTGGCAGGAACTCTACAGGAAGGGACACTGTTTTCCTTGTGGAAGGAGCATTGACTGAGACTAACCTGCCAGTGCTGCGTGACAGCATTCCACACGCCCACTTTCCCTGTGTGACTCGTGGCCACCAGCTGGTTCCCAATGAAGAAGAGAGCGTCTACAGGAACACCGAGGCTGAACACACCTTAACCGGAAAAGCAAACACAGATGTCAGTCCAGCACATCTTACAACTGCTCACAGCCTAGATTAAACATCCCCAGGTTACTTTGGCCTACTGACCATGTGCTGTGATCAATGGGGGCCAGAACTCGGGCAGCGCCTGTACATTCTTAAATCTCCATTATGGAACCCGAGAGCAGAGTCAGCTGGGCAATCTCACATAGCTTTCTAGTGTTGTCTCATGCTGTGGCTCTCAACCCTAGTTCACCATAACCACCACCTGACAGGCAGGAAGAGAAAGGACTCTGGGACTATGCCAGACCCAGTAAAACCTGCTAGGAATTCAGAGGTAGCCTGCTCATGGACTAGATCTTGGGGAAACCACTGACTAAAGACATACACTTGGCAACTCAATTATCTGAAAGGTGTCTAAAAAATGCAGAAATAAAGTAACAGAAGACCAAAACATCACTCTGTATTCAAAACAAGCGTTTAAGTCTTTAATCCTGTTTCCCAGTATTTACATTTCAATCGAATTGAAAAGAAACTGTATAAAGCAAGAAGCTTCCTGAAAGAACACAAAAAGACTCATTTTCACAAGACTCACAGTTTAGTAGAGGAAAGCACACCCCTCTCTACTACGTTGCACAGACAACAGAAGGGAGTGCTGTCCAGACAGTCATCAGAGGGATAAAGGAGCCTGGGAAGAGCTAAGGAAGAAAATCATGGGAGCTGGGTTTTCCAAAGGACTACAGGCGCCATCAAGCTGGAGAATCAGAAAGGGGAAGCTAAAACTAAGAAAGGGGCATGTGGTCTAAGGGACACCCACATGAAGGTGAGAGTTAGACTTGTGGTTTCTCTCAGGTGGCACACGGAGTCTATCACTGGCCTGTCTCACACCATGGCCCACTCATCATTCTCACCGAAACAATGGTATGATCTAAAACGTCTTATCTGAGAAACATTTTCTGGAAATGTCTTTTAATCCAGTCACTCGTAAATCTGAGTCCCCTCTCTAAATCTTGCTTTATTTGGACCATTATTAAAGAAGCACCTGTGTATCAACGTGAACAATTTTTTTTTTAACATTTAGCCACCAAAGACTCAGGAGGCCTTAAAGAACTCAGGGGTATAACAAAGTATGCCTTAAAAAACGCAAACCTGAAAAGATGACTGTTTCTCCTGGGCCTCAAAGCAGAATTGAGTGTCTCCTTTGTGTTCAAGTCTATACTGTATGAGAACAGAAGGCAACACGTGGCACCTTCAAAGTTCCACAGCAAACTTGAAGAAAGCCATGGGGCCAGTGAGAGCGGAGGAGATAAAGTGCAGCCAGTGCAGGCCTGACAACCTGAGTTAGAGCCACAGAACCTCCAGTGGAAAGAGAAAACCAACTCTCACAGACCTGTCCTGACCTTAGATGTGCACGTGTGCATGCGCACGCACACACACGCGCGTGCACACACACACACCTGCACTCACTGACACTCACATCTTGTTTGTAATATCAGAAACAAAGCACTAAGAAAGATGACAGAAATGGACAAAGCTGAAACTCAGAAGAAAACATCAATAGTCCTGCTGGGAACAACTCTTACACATTTAGGCGTTTGTAAATAAATACATGTTTACATAACAGACACATGAGTACATCACCTGTCGATCAAGACAGAGCAAAATAAGCTATAAGAAACACGTTGCCCCCCCCCCCCGGCTTAACAAAAACAGGTAAAGAAATAAACTGCACTTCAAAGCAGAGGTACTAATTCTACATCATCCACAATTATTTACATAGCAGTACTATGGCTTTGAGGCTGGACAACTTAAAAACAACTGAAGCCAACTTCATTCAGTTCTGCTACAGAAATTAATGCTGATTTTCCTCCTGAGAAGGATGGTTTTCAAGGATAACATCATGACTAGTCTCCAGAATTGAATGTGTCACTCCAGCTTAGCCTCAAGGATCCTTGTAGGAAGCCGCGGCTTGTGCTGGCAGAATCCGCCATTGCAAGATGGCGCTGGCATCCGGTGCTCCTCCTAGTAAACAAGTAAACTGCGCATGTGCTATGGTAAAAGAGCCAAAGTCAAAGCCCATCCCAGGGCGTTTTGGCGGGCAACAAGTAAGCAGCCAATCAGAGGTGAACACACCGCTCTAAGGGTATATAAGCAGTGCCTTTTCCGGGCCTGGGGTCTTCCTCCATTTCAATTTGGAATAAACGTTTGCTGCGGAAGGATCCTAGTGTGTTGCCGCGTGTGTCCTTGCTGGCGAGACGATTACACGCGGGTCACAGATCCTAACCACTGTTGGTAGAAAAGGCAACAGCGTGAGCATGAGGAGCTCTGCCTCAGCTCCTCTGCTGAAGCAGTCGGCTGTCTTGTCTGAGTCACAGGGCAGGGGTCCAGCCTTGGGAGAGCCTATCATGCATCCATCAGCCCAACAATAATGTTCTCTGGATGGTGAAATTCCAAAGGACAGAAACCAACAGACAGCTACCTTTACAGGCATGAACAAATCCCTACAGGACAGCTCCTCCTGAGGCTCCCCACCTCGCTACCCTCTGCAAATCGAGGAGTAGTCTCCACTCAATGGCACTTGAGGAGAGAGTCATAAGTAACTTGCTGTCTGTCTGTCTGTCTGTCTGTCTATCTGTCTACCAGCTGGCTCAGTCAGGTCTCTACTGCTGAAATAAACACCACGACCAAAAGCGACCTGGGGAGGAAAGGCTTGCAGTCCAGCATCCTGAGAAGCTGGAGCAGGCAGGAACCTGGAGACACAGCTGATACAGAGGCCACGGGGAACATTGCTTTCTGGCTTGTTCCTCATGGCTTGCTCAGATGCTTCTTAAAGATCCCAGAGCCCCTGTCCAGGGGTGGCATTACCTAGATCCTTCATATCAATTAACAATCAAGACAATGAGCCACGGGCTTGCCCATAGACTAACCTGGTGCCAGCATTTCCCAATTGAGGTTCTCACTTCCCAAATGACTCCAGCTTGTATCAAGTTGACATAAAACTGGCTGGCACAGCAGGATGCCTTTAACGTTAAAATTTGTTTTCTAACAAACCAAAGGGGGTAGGTTATCCTGTTAAACATGATACACGATATTCACCTATTCCATACTTTAAAACAGTAACAGCAAAACTGAACAAAATATAAGAAGGCACTTTTAGGCAATGTACAAAAGGTAGCAGAGGACTCACGATCCAGACAACTGTGTCTTCCTGCTCTGAGCACTGCCATTACCATACAGGGATGGATGAACACTGCTGAGCAGGGATGGGCAAGTAGCATAGGGATCTCACTAAGGTCACCCCAGGTACAAACGGAAGAGGGTGCTGTGGAATGGTGGGAAGTCCCAGCAACCATAGTAGATTAGGTGCTTCCACCTCAGAGTGGCATGCCTGACTGAAGACCTCTGACAGTCTGAGAGGAAACAAGGAAGGGAGGGAGGGAGAATATGGAGAAAGACAGATTTGGTATCTGACATACTGCTCCCCAAAACAAACAGAACAAGCCTATTTCAAGGAGGGTGTCGGTTGGTATTTGTTGCCAGCTACAGAAATAGTTTCAAGTGAAATGAATATTCTGAAGATCTCCACTGACAGGGGCGTGAATGCCTCCTAACATTGTCAGATGTGTGACCACGCAGATTCCAAGGCCAGGACACATTTCAGCTGGGCAGTGAATGGTACCAGCATTTACAAAAGCTGCCTAACTCAGCAAGCCAACATTTTCCAACTGATCAGCACAGGTGTTACAAACCACTCAAAGAACAAATCAGACTGGGGATCTCAATTTAGCAGACTTACAAAAGTTTCATGATTCAGGTCCACGATTCAAGAGAAAGAGCCACAGTTTTTTGAAATTATTATTTAGAAAAATGTATTAACAACTGTTTATCATTTCAGGCCACCTTGTCTTTACATAGATCAATAAAAACAATGTATCACAGCAAACTAAATACAGAAATAGACTTAGGAATTACAGAAGACTTCACCACAGAGCTGTGGAGAGGGTCACTTTAGTAACAGTGCTTGCTGCATGTGCACGAGGGCCTAAGTTCAGATCCCCAGCACACACCTGAGAAGAGAGAAAAAAGTTCTGCATCCCTGTGTCCTCGCTCTAGTGGTAGGAGAGCAGAGACAGGGGGATCACTGTGTTTGTTCATCAGCCCAGGCAAACCCAGCAAGCTCCGAGTCTCAAGGGAATAAGGGAGAAAATGAAGGAGCAGGACACCCCACATTTTTCTGTGACTCAACAGACAGGGACATGGGCATGTGCACTCACACAGATATGCATGCATGCATACACCAGTCACGTGTACTCGAACACACAAAAATAAAAGTTGAAAAAGACTACAAAACTGTAACCATTATTACTTGTCTCAAAATTGTTGTTTTTGGAAAACATCTCTTTTCATTAACGTGATTTGAATCTACATGCAATGAGTTTAGTATTGCTATCTTTATATCAGTAAGTACTAAAAATTCCAAGTTTAATTTCTAATAATATGAATGGCAATGGATAACAACCTCTACAAATACTTTTGGTGTGGAATAACTTAAGAGAGCTTTGGTTCTGAGACCAAAAAATTCTGAGAAATTTGGTTCCAGAAGGCAGACAGCATGAGGTATTCACCCACCTTCAGAGAGTCCAAGTGGAGGGAACCAGCTGCCGCTGGAAGCGCACCAGGCTCTACCTCAGTGCTTTCCTCTAACACAGCACTTCTCACTGAGGAGTGCTCTGACACTGGGCCCAAGAGTTGTAACAACCCCAGCCAATTGTCACACTTATGACCAGTCTCTCCTAAACGTCAACCTTCCATGGGCAACAACCAAGCACAATGTAAGAGTCTTCCTACCAATCTCACTTCCGCTTCCTCCATCCTGAACACTCCACAGGATGATGCTGCTTTCTGAGGCCACAGCCACCATTTTGTCCTTGTCTCCATGAGGCCCTCCAACCACTTTTGCATTTAAAGCCACCCGTTCAATGGTCCAGTCCAGGTATGGGCTTGTAAACACTTGCTGCCACCCTGAAGACTCTTTGATTCTGTTAAGAATAGACATGTAAACTTATTAGTGCTAGATGAGAAAAAGAACAGAAATCAACATGGCAAACAAGCAACAAAAAGAGACCCACATCCTCCATCTACCTAGATATACCGAATGTAATTTTTGATATATCATCTACAAAGATATTATTCCTTATCTTACATTTACATATACAGGACATGTGACCACAAAAAAAAAACTAGAATACTGTATTTCTCTAAAAAATTAAAATTTTATAAAACACTTTAAAAATTCAAAGAAAAGTGTTAAGATTGTTGAGGTTTAGTCTGTTGCATGCACTGTAATGCTAAGTTCTGTATCAGAGGGTCTAACTGCCTGCAGGTGAATTCTCACAGTTATAAGCTTGTCTTGTACAAACTTTGTTCTTTAATTTAAAATCATTGGGTAAATAAAAATGGTAAATAAAATGGGTAAATAAAAATGATGAGATTAGAGGTGGGGTGGGTTTTGAGTTACCTGCTACCTGGCTAGGGGTTGCAGAGGGGAGAAAGAGACAGAGACAGACAGACAGACAGACAGACAGACAGAGACAGACAGACACAGACAAGAAAGGACATGGTGAGAGGAGCCACCATGAAAGGAGATGAACCCTGAGCACATGGCCAAGAGAAACAGCAAGTATTTGGGGTACATCGCTGGGGAAGTAGCCAGGCCAGCAATTAGAAAGGTAAGTTAGGTAAATTACCCCCCACATCCAGTAATTGTCAAAGCCAAATAACCATAATCTGAGTCTCAATCATTTGTAAGCTAGACAGAGATAAGTTTACATTGCTGTATCCACATAAGATGTTGAGTTTCTCAGACTTCCCTACAGAAAGCTACTGCCGTGTTCTGTATGATGATGATGGCCAACAGCAGTCAGCATCTGAGAAAAGGTTGGACTCTTTCCTGTTAGCAACCATATGATGTCACTCATGTGACATGGCAAGAACTGAAGTCTCTGATCCTCAGACGACATTACATCAAACACAAAATATCTCAGTCTCTGAAGACTGGTTTATACAGGTCAAAACAGGACACTTGACACACCCTCTTTTGTTCTCCTCCCCTTCCCCTGTCTCTATGTACCTGAGACAAGCCTGAAGTAGAACTTACTATGTAGCCCAGGCTGGTCTCCAACTCAATCTTCCTGCCCCAGACTCTCAAGAGCTAAGATTATAGACTTGTATCTCTATGCCTGGTTCCCATTTTTAATAAATTTCTCTGCCCTATATAAACTCGGGTCTTCTAGACTGGTCTTCTGTGTGAATGAACAGCAAGCCCCCAGGGTTATAGCCTGATTATAGCATCATGATGAACAAGTCAGCAAAAGTACCTTCTTAGTTCTGCCTAGCAGATGAAAGGGCAAAGCTGCCCTTTACATTATGACGTATGTGAAATCTAGCCTGGCTGGCCGCTGGTAGAGCCTGTGGTACTTAATTAGCAAAGGCACAGGTCACTGTTTCCATTTAAAGATGTCTGCTCAATAATACAAGTACAACTCACAAGTACAACTTAAATGAGAATTCATGTTTTCCTTATTTAAGCTTCAGTGCAATAAAGGGTCAAATTTACCAATTTTTCCCAAGCATTAGGAAGGTCGGTCTGTAATTACCCTTTTCGGCCACCAGATGGGAGTGATGTATTATGGTAAACATGAAACTACTCATCCAATAAACTCTAAAACTGACAACTAATATTAAGGAATAAAATGTGGACTTTCAGGCTCTCTCAGACTGAGCACAAAGCAGGGATTGTCCACACATCCGAGACTAATGACACGTGCTGTGTGGAATCTAGACATAGGGTGGACACAATCAAACTCAGCAGACATGCTGGTAGCCTGAATTTGAAAGGATGTTGATCCTGCCGGCTGGTGGTGGTGCACACCTTTAATCCCAGCACTTGGGAGGCAGAGGCAGGTGGATTTCTGAGTTCGAGAGTTCGAGGCTAGCCTGGTCTACAGAGTGAGTTCCAGGACAGCCAGGGCTACACAGAGAAATCCTGTCTCGAAAAAAACAAACAAACAAAACAAAACAAAACAAAAAAAAAAAAAAAAAAAAAGGATGTTGATCCTGTAAGCAAAGGTGTAGGACACAGACACTCTTCCAGACAGCACACTTTTTAGTTTCAAGTCTACAGCCATCAGGACTGTACAGGGTGAAACATTTATAACCTGGAGAGCATGACAGCACTGTTACAGAACTTAGTAAGCCAGGCGAACTTGTGTTTGAAATTGAAAGGCATGCAAAGAAATCTACAGCTGTGTAATTTTCCAGGAACCCAACCTGAAGCTTGAAGCACATAAAGAGACAAAGAGCACTGACACTCTACTCCAGTTTGTCACCGCTGACTCTGGAATCAGCACAGCCGTGTAGGGATTGCTGTATTTTCCATAGTGAAATCTCAAGATTTAGCTAATATGAAGCAAGTTCTTCCTCAAATGAGTGTATTTAATCATGAAAAGCATGTAAGAGTTCAAGATACCTGAATACACAGAGACACATAGATATATGCACAAGTATACACATACACACATGGGGAGAGGGGACTTCACACTCAGCAGGAAGGCAACTTACATAATAAATGATATAAACATAATTACTCACTTGGAAAAAAGCAAAACACATTCTTAAATTTCATATCACCTACAACAAAGGAAATTCCTCCAAGATTAAGAATCTAAAATGGAGTCCAGATGCAAGAGGGCAGCAACTTATACAAGTTCTCCATCAACCTGGTGACCATGTCAAATGCAGGAAGAAACGGGACACAAACCATACACAATGCAGTGGCCTATGGGAAAGCACATGTGGCCACAACACCACTCTCTGTGTTAAGCCTTTGAAGTGATATAAAACTACAAAGAAAAATATTTTATAGAAAAGACTATGATCTTCAAAAGGTACTATGAAATTTCTTTTCAAACCGTTTATTTGCTCATCAGTTTGCTGTTGCAGGATAATTTCCTACTACACTGTATTTGCAGTGGAGCTCGGTGATTGGGCAGTACAAGAGGAGGTGGAGCTGGGAGAAGGAAAGAGGAAGGGGGAAGGAGAGGGAGGGAGAGAGCTAACAACCATGGAGAAAGACAGGTGGGTCGAAAGCAGTCCTAGGTAACAATTTATATCAAAAACAATTTATATTGGGTAACAATTCTAATTGTGTGGGCATCTTGTTAATAATTGAGTATTTCCAAGTACATGAATCTATTGATAATTTTTAAGCATTAAGAGTCTTCTACCGAGAACCGCAAGTATGGCGGGTTATGTCTGGGGCTTAGCAGAGAACCATGAGTGTGACAGAATTGGCCCAAGATCCATGCTTTGGGGCATAGCTCTTCATAGAGCTGATTGGCAGAACCAGCAGCCATGTGAGCAGTGGTCTGAGCCTGAGCAAGAACAGCAGGAACATGGCGGCTGCCCAAGAACAAGCCGGACTGAGCACCATTTTTTAAATTATCATCTGATACAGTCTGCTTCACAATTTGAGTTTGTAAGGAGAGCCAGCACGCTTGCCCTTTTCACGTCCACACCTGAGTTGCCAGCTACAGTCGTGGGCTAACTGTGCCAGCCTACCCAATGCCATGGGCAGTCACTCTTCCTTCCCCATCCCTCCTCCTGGAGAATTTCAACACTCTGGCAAGTGACACTCTGCAGCACTGCGACAGAGGCAGAGCTGCCACATCACTGAACAGTCACTGCAAGTTCCTGGAATCCTTGTTAGTAATCAACTGTGCACCCGTGCTAAACCACCGTGAGACTGGCCTCTAAGAGCCTTTCGGTTTACACTCAGATGGTGGTGAGTCTACAACAACTCTATAAAACTCCCATACTAAACATCTTATGATGTCTAAGAGCATCTACAAAATAATCACCTGAAAGCTCATGCCTATACTGTCTAGTAATTAAGTTAAAACCCTGCACGGCACTCAGAACGAAGTCTGACTATAACCACTATAACCACTATAACCACTATAACCACTATAACCAAAGCCTGGCCCAAGCAAGTGGCAAGTGGCAGACAGCGCCCTCCAGAGGCAAACCTGCACCATACACTTAGAGTACTTAAAAGGGGACAGTAAACGCCTGTGGCGTTTTTAAACCTATAACCAACTTCAGCTTTTTTTTTTTTTTTTCTTAACCAAGGCACAAAACAAGGTGACAGAAAATCTTGACTTCTTTGACTTTCCAGTAAGGAAATTAAATGCTGAGGGAATGAATCCTGGCCAGCCCGGCTTCTTTGCCGTGGGAGCAAGAGCACTGCCTGAGGCCTACAGCCCAGGAGGATCTGAAGAGTCTTAACTTTCCTGTGTTTAAAACAAACTCACTCTGGACTCTGCGCTCCTCCTCCTACTGCCTTTCACTCTAATCCAATACTGTAAAGCGCAGTGCACTGCAGACACAGCTGTATACATCCTACCGCACTATGTCACTCCCAACACTGTGGCCATCCTAACATTACAGAGCTCTCCCCACCTCTGCTGCACAGGACAACAGACAACTCAGCATGAGAAAGAAATTACAGATTCACACTAACAATCCTGCCTGAGGCCTCCACACACAGATACAGGAGCCAGAGTGACCTAGCTCAGCTGCGTCACATTCCTACCACCTGGGAAACATAAACAGTAAGGCTACCAGCAGTATAGAGGCGGTATCAAGTAAAAAAACAAACTAAATTTTGACCAAGTGCAGTGGATGACACATGCAGGGGAAAACTGAAGGCTAAAAGGAACAGACATTCAACCTAAATATAAACTATAATTATTTAAAATAAAACCAAATGATGTAACACACACAGTACCTGTAACACACGGCGAAATGAGCATAGGCAGCTACAATCCAGTTGTGGTGGCCAGCAACTATTAGCACCTTTCTTGGATCCACTGGAACTCCTGTCAGTTTTAAAGAGACGCATTTACATCTTACACTGAGTTGGAAAGTTCTGGCTCAGAGGCCGTTTCATGCTTCTGCCTTCATGTTTGGGTTAAGGAGGTCTGTACAGAGCATGCTCACAGCTTATTAGATCAGACTGAGACAAAGTTAAGGAGTTCCAATCAATAGCACAAGGCCCCAGAAGCCTAAACTAGGAACTCACTAGCTACCTCTCAACAGAAAGTTTGTCAACTGTTCTGAGGAACATTTGACAACAGAAAAAAAAAACAAAAACAGAGAATCAGACTATCACACATTAAAACAAACAAACAAACAAACAAACACCTGAGTGTTAAATGAGCTTTTCTAATATATAAATAATGAATCTGGATTTCAGATGACTATACAGGGCTGGAGCGTAGCTCAGAACAGCACTCAACACCTTTGCCACAGGCTCAACACACAAAACTGTAAGACTGTGAGGGGGGAAGGGAGGGAGAGGAAGAGACATGGGGGAGGGGCAGGAGGGGAAGAAGCAAAAGAATAACATTCAAAACTCATGGCCGTTTCCCTGCGAGCTGACTGTGTGCTCTCCGTCTCTGTGTTCTGTTACTCACCCAGCCTAATAGTGTCTTCTCCATTTCCGGTAAGTACAGGCTGCGTTCCACTTCCCCGGGCTTCACCTTCCATAGAATTTAGTCCATTCCTAGCGTCCACAGAGGACCTAGCAGTGTTAGTCACTTTACGACTGGGAATGCCTACAAAGGAGAACACAAATTTTATCTGTTACCCTTGAATTTCCTCATACTTTCTGACAGGGTCTTTTCAAAGACAACACCCCTCTCAGAAGCACAATGCTGCACAGGCAAAGGCCCAACTCTGGTAAGTATCTGAGGGGACAGTGACCACCTGCAGATCTTGGGGGCTCGGGTCCTCCAGCTAAGGGCCAGTGGTGTACTCGGCAGCCCGAATGACGCCACAGCGCTCCCCTCTGCCATTACAGAAGAAGGTGCCAACTCCTGCTCTACATACATGCAGCGGCACGGTCTGATGAGGTCCAGATTCATCGAAACTCAAATCACCAAAACAGTTTTTCTTATTTTTATACTTATGTCCAGTGACAAAAGGGACTTTTTAAAGGCTGACCAAACGTGAGCTGCAGTACCTGGTGGGGGCAAGTAGCCATGGAACAGGACGCTGCCGCAGGATGACCTCTCCAGCTCCTCACACAGCAGCAGCCTCCGCACTGCAATAGTCAATGCAAGCGTGTCAGGGGACATGCAAACACAGCCGCTCCACACCTACTTTCTCTAGTTAAGGGCAGTGAGAAAAGAAAGGAGAATGTTTAAACAGCTCACAGCTGAGACATTTTCTCACTGTGAAATGCTCAGTACTGAACTACTCTCCAGAGGACCTGAGAGAAGACACTCTGCCTCTGGGCAAGCTTAGCACAGCACAGGGGCAGTCCCAGGAGATCAACACATACCTAGTGGAGTGATCCCATAAAATTCTGCCTCGTGTCTGAGAACATTGATGCTGACTCCCCTGTAAAGAAACAAGCGAACAAAGGCTGTGAGCTCTCTAACACCAGAGACCTGGGCTACTATGGAGACCACGGAGGAAGCAGCAGACCCCTCAAGGGGATGAGGCCAGCGAGCCTAAATTTTGTTTTTTCTCATATTCTCTTTGCAACACCATTAATCACCTGGAAATGGTTAAGAGTGTGTGCTCTCTTCCAGAGGCAAGATGCAGTTCCCAGCACCCCAAGGCAGCTCATATCCAACTGAAACTCCAGTCTCAGGGGATCCAACTTCCTTTCCTGACCTCCAAGGACGCATGCAAGTACATGCAAGCACATGGTACACAGATACATGGGTGACATAACACTCTACACATAGAACAAACATAAATATTTAAAATAAAACACTGTTACCTACTTAAAAACCACACATATTTTGATGATTTGCATAAGAGAGATTTGAAGAATAATATAAATAAATAATAAAGAAAAATTTGACAAGAAAATAAGCAGCAGAAACCGTTCTCTTACGGGGCTTTCCACTACAAGTCTCTCTTAATGTGTTAATAGAGAGACTTGTTCTGTATGCACGCTGCGAGCTTCACCTTCTGACTGGCTTTGTATTCCTTCTTCAGTGCCTACTACAGCGCTCGTTTATACACCCTGTAGTATATTTGTTGGTAAAATAAACTGAAACTTGGATTTTAAATGGCCAGCAAGAACTTAGTGTGCACATGACGATGACACTGGCACAATAAGTAGTGGAGCTGGGTAACATGTAATTAACAAGTGAAGAGGGAGTAAGCTCCAGAGCCCACAGCACTAAGGACTCACTTGAGGCTCAGCTGCAACCCACGTTTCACTTCCTTTGAGAACATGGCCAGGCCTTAGCATACATAATTGTGAGTTAACTGTTTAATTTGTGACTAGTTTATCAGAAGAAGCTATGGGCTAGGAAGGGTTGGAGTAAAGCAACAGCAGCCGAAAGATGGAGGACCCAAGGGGTAAGGGATTCAGATCCACCCAAATCACACAAACGCCAGATAGGTATGGCAGCCCACTTGTAAAGACAGACACAGAGAAGCCCAGAGCAAGCTGGCTAGCTAACTAACCAAGTGATGGTTAGAGCTAGGTTCAACGGAGAGACCCTGCCTCACTGTAAAAGGCAGAGAGATCCAAAATGCTGACATCAACCTTGGTACATGTACACGTACACACACACACACGACAGAGAGAGAGAGAGAGAGAGAGAGAGAGAGAGAGAGAGAGAGAGAGAGGCAGAGAGACAGAGAGACAGAGAGACAGAGGCAAAGGTCCAAGACAAGGAAGGGCTCAGGACAAACATGGTCTCAGTCTCAGAAGCTCAAGGAGCTGTGGACAGTTGCCTGGACAGGCTAGAAAACAAATTCGTGATTTGTGGTACCAGCAATACAAAATGTTATGCAAAAAACAAGGTTAAAACATTGTTTTTAAAAACCAAATTTCTTCTTTTGAAAAGTAACCCCTCAAATCTTACGTTTGCTGGGCCTCTTTAAATGACGAAAGGCACTGGCTGATGCAAAGGCAGGAGAGTAAATAAGAATGGGCTCTCCAGGGGATGTTAAGTGTGGGGTCAGTCAGGAAAATCCCTCACTGGGGAAGCTGAGCCCCTCCTCTCACCCAAGCACAGCACACTGCCTCAAGACTCAAGAAAGCCGCTTGCATGCATCCTGTTTCAGCAATGAGCATGCAGCAGGGAACATAACAGACCCAAAAGAATGAATATACAACTTCATCTGCAAAGGACACAGCTTCAAGGACTACAGTCTAAATTACGTGAAGAGGCAGCTAAAGGTAACCCCAAGGTTCCTAAAAGTTGGATCTACAAAAAAAATTCAGAGCCTTAACAGAAATAATGAAAATTTTATATATATATATATATAATTAAAGCTTCCTGATATGAATGCAAACTGTAATTCAAGATGGTAAATTCAAAGGTATGACTTAGGTGATCATTCAATCATCCATGAACTACACACGTCCACTACAGACTGGGTATAAAATGAAGAGTGGGTGCCCTTCTAGAGTTGAGGCCTGTTTAAGGATTACTAAAATGTTAGTATATATAGCCACAGCTGAGGAACTGACAGGCAAGAAGTGTGAACACCACCTTAGACACAACAAAACACGCACCAGAGAGGGGACAGGATTATAAGAGAAATTGAGTATGGGCAAGAGATAGACAAGCAAGACCAAACCCAGAACTATCAGCCATTCGTCCACAATCGCCTATTTTCAGCAGAGCAGCAGCCCCATCAGACTTGGACTGCTGGCTGCAGAACTGAAATGAGATACGGGATGCACCAGGGAACTGCCCAGACAGCTGCAGTGCATACTAGAAGAAAAAGGCACAGTGGCCTGTACCCATCCAACTCAGCCAAGGACACTTGTTAGTCATGGGGCAGATCAGGGGCCCTTAGAGGCTGGCAGGGTGAACTAGGGGCAAAAGAGAATTCTAGAAAGAAGCGGGCAACAAACCATAGTTGGGGAGTCAGCTCCCTACATAGTACAGCTGCACTGTAGCTACACATCAAGTAACTCAAGCACCTAAAGATTCCCAACACAAGAAACAGGATCATCTGAGGAGCTGCAGAAGTACCACCCTGCCCTGACTGTTGTTGTGACGGTGGCACACTCTCAGCTTGTGTCTCAGTAACTGTTAACACCCTGTGCCATGGTGAGCACACATACACCAACTACACTGCAGTGATTCCTGAACAGGCCCGAACACTGGCTGCCAGCAAGGCCTCAGAAAGGATGAATCGCTTACCTTAAGTCAAGCTCTTTTGTCCGAAGAAAATTTAAAATGGGGGCGAATGCTGCTGGGTCCCTATCAATAAATATCTGCAAGTGAAGAACTGTGTTATTATCAAGTCAAAAATAATGTCCCCTTCCATATCTGAAACGCTAACAGAGAACAACAACTGGGCTAGACTTCCTTGTTTTAATGTTTCTAACGCTGAAATGGTATAGCTGTGCTCAATGGTCCTGAAAGTGTTTTCATTTCTAATTAGTGATAATGATGGGGGAGGGGAGAGAAGACACCTGGGAAAACATTTCCATCAAGAACATTCCAGACTCAACCAACACTTTAAAAATAACACAAATTTTCCTCATGCTATGGCAGTTCCTACTGTGGCAGCCGCCATAACTCCCATGATAAGTGAAAACAGCACTGTGTGTGCTCCAGTGCAGACAATAGTCAGTGTTACCAGAGCTGTCACCTGGAGCAGAGCAGGACATCCATGGGTTTAACTGACAATCTCACTATCTCTGCTTCAAGGACTTGGGAGGATTAGAGCAGAGGACCATGGACTACACAGGACAAAGATGCTTACAACAGAAAACCAATGAACTGGCTTTTTGATTTAAACTTTAAGATAATTTCATGCAGACACATCTGTTTTGCTGCCTTAGTTTACCTACAAATCTCATCAAATTAACTTCAGACTGCTTCTGTGAGTTGTCACTCTCCTTGAACATCAGTTATCTGAACACAATTATGTCTACGACAACGTTGTAAGTGCAGAAAGCAACCTAACCTCTTGGTCTACACTTTACAGCCTTCGTTTCCACACTGTAGTCTCACGGGTTCCTAAGAACCTGCCGGACTCTCTCTGCTCACTCAAATACCCAAGTATGTTCTTACTCACACTCACTGACTGTTACAGTTTTAATTATTGACTAAAGCAACACAAGCTACACCCTATACTCTCTCTAATCACAAACATCTCAGATTGCTACATACAGAAGTTACTGCTAAACTGTTTCCAGTTTAGAAACACAGTACCTGACAGTTATTAAAAATGCCACACTAACTTTGCGCTTACTAAAATGTGAGCCCTCCTGTCACTATACACTAAGAGTCATTAGCGTTTGTTGACTGAATTTAGAAACATAACACTATACTCACAGCACCAGTTTCATCTCGAAGTGTTGAAATTCTTCCACTCAGCAAACTAGGAATCCATTAAAATAAGCTAGAGTTAGTTATAAAAACCATAAATTCCTTATCAAATGTCAAAGCCAATACAAGCAAAATTTTTGTCCCCAACTTTTAAAAAGATCTCAGGTTTAATCAGGTGTGGAGTGTTTGCCTATAACTCCTTAGAAGGCTGAGGCAGGAGGAAGAGGAAGAGTTAAAGGCTACACAGCAAAACCCTTCTTGGTGGTACAAAAACAGTAACATTTCTAATTTAAAAGTTAACATTTTAAATTCAAAATATTTTTTAAAAATCTTAATTTAACTAATTAGGAAAATTTTCATATTCAAGTCATCACATGTGCAAAAACACAAAGAATTACATAAATTACCTGGAAAAAAAGGAATCTGGAATCCACATAAGAGTCTGTCTTGAGGTACTGAATCTGCAATTAAAATCATCTTGCGTTATAAATGAGAGCACACCTTGAGTCAGCAATGGTCACAGGTGAGAATGACCACCCGCCCCGACTATGTCTGTCATGTTCACTACTGTTTAACTTGACTAGTTTGTAGTCAGTTAAGATTTTTCACAACTCGCTCAGCAAAATCAAACGCAACACTTTCTAAAACCCAACCTTTTATTCCATCCCAGCAAATCTCACCTCGGCTTCACTAAGAGCAGCTTGTCGCTGCCCTCTCAACTTTATGTTCTGCCTCTTGCGTCCTGGTTCCATCACCTTCTTCATGTCCAATACTCCAAGTCACACCCATCTCTTCTGACACAACTAGGTTACCAAATCCACAATGACTTTTCCAGACATTCTGCCTGGCATGGCCTCCTTTTGAGCAATTAGAAACTCACATACATTCTCTATACCCTCGTCCTGGGCTATTTCCAATGTATGAGGAAACCGCGTACTGTCTGCTCCCTGCTTAGCCAGGCCTATCACCCAAACTTTCCTTCATTTCCTTTCACATCTGCCAAGTGGCAGCAAATGTCAGCGGATGGCAGACCAAGTTGAGAGCTGCAGAGGTAAATCCATACGTAAGCACTAAGACAGCAGGGGCTCAAGACATTTCATCTCCTGATAGATGATAACTCCTTAAACTGTACAACTTTCAAACTTACTTTTCAGGAGTGTTTTACTTATCCACACACACACACTCACACACACACTCACACGAAACCAGTTATGTTTTGTTTTTAAGGTGGGTACCAGTGTTTGGAGAGTGACCTGTAATCCCATAGCCTAGCACTAGCACAAACCCAACAGGTACTTTGAAACAGAGTGTGATAGTCAGATGCACTTGATCCAGTTCAGTGTTCTGAGACACTGGTTGCTTTGCACAATCCTCTGGGCTTTATATGGTTTCAACAGAGCATTTCCATATAAAGGAAGTATTGGCAAACACGTACCCAGGCTGTCCACATGGCCATTAGCATGACAGGCCTTAAGTCACCTAAAGTCAGTGACAGTAGAAAAAAGTACAAGCTCCCTTCCATATAATGTCTGCTGCAGCCCGATTATCTCACACACAGTCTCTCTAGTTATCAAAGTATGCTTGTTAATCAGAGGGAAAACACTAACTCTGTCTCCTCATCCACAACTCTATAATCTTATCTGTAAGAAAACTGACCTACTAAGGGAAACAGGGAAATAGTTGATTTTTAAAAAGATTTATTTTATTGTCTTATATATATGAATGTTTTGCCTACATGTAAGTATGTGCACCATGTATGTACCTGGTGCTCACAGAGGTCAGTAGAGGTCATAAGATTCCCCTGGGACTGGACACCTTACAGCCTTCATTTCCACACAGTAGTCTCACGGATTCCTAAGAACCTGCCAGACTCTCTCTGCTCATTCAAATACCCAAGTATGTTCTTACTCACACTCACTGACTGTTACAGTTTTAATTATTGACTAGAGCAACACAAACTACACCTTATACTCTCTCTAATCACAAACATCTCAGGTTGCTACATTCAGAAGTTACTGCTAAGGGTCTCTTTCCAGTTTAGAAACAGTTTGTGACAGTTATTAAAAATGCCACACTAACTTTGCGCTTACTAAAATGTGAGCCCCCCTGTCACTATCCATTAAGAATCATAAGTGTTTGTTGACTGAATTTAGAAACATAACAACACTATCCTCACAGCACCAGTTTCATTAGGAGTTACAGACAGTTGTGAACTACCATGTAGGTGCTGGGATTTAAAATCAGGTCTTCTGCCAGAGCAACAAGTGCTCTTAACCACTGAACCGACTCTCCAGCCCCAAATAATTTACTTCTTATAGATTATATCTATATAGACAGATAAAGATACGTTCATTAAGAGATCTTACAGATCTCGAAAAAGCAAAAAAAAAAAAAAAATCTTACAGAGATACACAGCGAATTTCAGGCCAGTGAGCCTTTGTCTCAAATACACACACACACACACACACACACACACACACACACACACACACATATATATATATATATATATGAAGGAGTTCTAAAAAAATGTACTCAAGAAAACATGGCATTTTTTCCTAAAGGTATTTCTTAGAAAACTCTTAACTAGTTCCATAGGTTCAAAGTTCATAGTTCACATGTTACCACTAGTCACAGAAAACTTATGTTAATTAAAGAAAATCAGTCAATGATAAATGGAGGCACCCACAGAAAGGCTCATTTGCAGAAGGCAGTAGATAATATCAAGTAATAATGATGGAACAATTCATTCTGATTGTCTACATCCCCATGAAACAAGCCTTTGGAGTGTGTATGAAGGAGTCCTACAATTACACCAAGAGGGAAGATCTATCTCTGCCCTAGTTTGTTTTCTGTTGCTATGATAAACACTGACAAGATCAGCCTAGGGAGAAAGGGCTCCTTAGGCTTACAGGCTCAGCCCATCACTGAAGGAGGCCAAGACAGAGACAGAAAACTGGAGACAGGAACAGAGGCAGAGACCATGGAGCACTGCTGCTTACTGGCTCCCCTTTCCTTAGCTTGCTCAGCTACCTTTCTGATATAGCCTATGCCTGCCTCCCTGGGATGGTACCACCTCAGCAGACTGGGTCTGATACAGCCCATGCCTGCCTCCCTGGGATGGTACCACCTCAGCAGACT